CAACCTAATGTTCAAGTCAGTAAGGCAAAAACCTCACACTGCTGCAAGAATCTCTTTATATTAATAGAACCTTGTAAAAGTGCTATGAATTTACCTAGCAATCCTCTTATTTCTCATATCCATTTCATTCTTATCTACCCCCTGACTCATTAATTCCTACATTCTCCACATTATTTTTCTCCTAAGTTCTAATTTTTTTAATTTTATTTTCACTTTCTTTCTTTTAGAGAGAGGGGAGGAGAGGGAGAAGAGAGGAAGAGAAACATCGATGTGAGAGATAAACATCAGTTGGCTGCCTTCCCTATGTGCCCTGACTGGGGACTGAATCTGAAACCCAGGCGTGTTCCCTGTCCAGGAATCAAACCAGCAACATTTCAGTTTGCAGGACAATGCTGAAACAGCTGAGCCACACTGGTCAGGGGATTTTTGTTTTTTGTTTTTTTGTTTTGTTTTTTGTTTTAAAGAGAGGGGAAGGGAAGGAGAAAGAGAAGGAGCTAAGCTCTAAATTTTTACTGTTTTTTTCTCTCTTCCTCCTTCCCATTACTTTTTACAAAGTTAATTACAAAAAATTAACTTTGTGCTTTTTTGTATGTGTGTATACATATGTGTAAAGATGTATAATATTTATGAATCATACATCTTTTAATTTTAAGAAATCCCAATATATATGCTGTGGAGAGTGGTAAATTCTAAATGCATAGTTTTTATTGGGATACAGTTTGTTTGAAAGATTTATACAAAGACAAAAGTTACAAAATACAGTGGAGACCAGATGTGCTTCATTCTATTGCAGTGCTCTATCACTGAAGAAAGTATATAATGTCAAAAAACAGGGCTTCTGGCCAAGATGGAGGTGTAGGTAGATAGACTTCACCTCCTCACACAACCAAAAGAAGGACAAATTTAAAAACAAAAAATAACCAGAACTGCCAGAAAATTGAACTGTATGGAAGTCCAACAATCAAGGAGCTAAAGAAGAAACATTCATCCAGACCAGTAGGAGGTGCAGAGACAGGTAGCCAGGGTGGAGAGGACACGTGGCAAGGTGGCGGCTGGCAGACCAGGCAGTCCCACATTTGCGTGAAGTTGGAGGAACAGCTGGGGAGCAAGACAGACCGCGCAACCCAGGGTTCCAGTGTGGGAAAAGAAAGCCTCAAAACCTCTGGCTGTAAAAACCTGTGGGGTTTGTAGCAGCAGGAAAAACTCCCAGCCTCATAGGAGACTCTGTTGGAGAGACCCACAGGGTCCCAGAACATACACAAACCCACCCACCTGGGAATCAGCACCAGAAGGGCCCAATTTGCTTGTGGGTAGCAGGGAAAGTGACTGAAGGCTTGCTGAAAGCCAAGCAAGCATCATTGTTCCTTCTCTGACACTTCCCCCATATACAGAGTCACAACCCAGCAACCTGGGCGCTCTGGTGAATACCTAAGCCTCAGTTCCTTCCAATGTAACAGGCACACAGAGACAAAGAAATGTGGCCCAAATGAAAGAACAGATCAAAGTTCTAAAAATAGAACTAAGCTATGAACAGATAGCCAACCTATCAGATGCACAGTTCAAAACATTAGTAATCAGGATGCTCACAGAATTGGTTGACTATGGTCACAAAATGGAGGAAAAAGTGAAGGCTATGCAAAGCAAAATAAAGAAAAATATACAAGGAACCAACAGTAAAGGGAAGGAAACCAGGACTCACATCAACGACTGGGAGCAGAAGGAAGAGATAAACATTCAACCAGAACAGAATGAAGAAACAAGAATTCAAAAAAATGAGGAGAGGCTTAGGAACTTCTGGGACAACTTTAAATGTTCCAACATCCGAATCATAGGGGTGCCAGAAGGAGAAGAGGAAGAGCAAGAAATTGAAAGCTTATTAGAAAAAATAATGGAGAACTTCCCCAACCTGGTGAAGGAAATTGACTTCCAGGAGATCCAGGAAGCTCAGAGAGTCCCAAACAAGTTGGACCCAAGGAAGCACACACCAAGGCACATCATAATTACATCACCCAAGATTAAAGATAAGGAGAGAATTTTAAAAGCATCAAGAGAAAAGGAGACAGTTACCTACAAAGGAGTTCCCATAAGATTATCAGCTGATTTCCCAAAAGAAACGTTGCAGGCAACAAGGGGCTGGAAATAAGTATTCAAAATCATGAAAGACAAGGACCTACATCCAAGATTACTCTATCCAGCAAAGCTATCATTTAGAATGGAAGGGCAGATAAAGTCCTTCCTAGATAAGGTCAAGTTAAAGGAGTTCATCATCACCAAGCCCTTACATGAAATATTAAAGGGATTTACCTAAGAAAAACATGAAGATCAAAACTATGAACAATAAAATGACAACAAATTCACAACTACCAATAACTCAACCTAAAAAACAAAAACAAACTAAGCAAACAACTAGAACAGGGACAGAAACCCAGAAACAGAGATTGTAGGGGAGGGGGAGGCAGGAGAATGGGGGGAAAGGTACAAGGAATAAGAAGCATAAATAGTAGGTGCAAAATAGACAGGGAGATGTTAATAGCATAGGAAATGGAGAATCCAAAGAACTTATATGTACGACCCATGGACATGAACTAAGGGGAGGGGGATCCTGGTGGGAGGGGCGGTTCAGGGCGTAGGGGAAAAAAGGGGAGAAAAAAATGGGACAACTCTAATAGTATAATCAATAAAATATATATATTTAAAAGAAAAACAGTAGGGCCATCTGCAGTGCAATCTGGGCTCCAGATCTTAGCAGTGATAGATGGTCCCCTAGCAAGTTGTTGCTAGAGTCAAAGACTGTATCTCTGCATTATAGCTGTGATTCTCTTCTTGCCAAAACCATTTCATTTGGTTTCTCACTACACTATTCTATTGAAGCCATGCAGGAAAGTCTTCAAAGAGTGCCTAAGCCTTTAGTTCAAACTCCTAGACCACAGTTAGGCATGCTAAATCATTGTTACTGACCATCCTCCCTCCCCCGCCAATCTAGTTTACCTAGAGATATTTCTGCAATATTTCTTGAGGTAATAAAACTTCAAAGTATGCAATCTGCCTACTAGCATACATAAAAGCATGTAAGCCTTTGGAATCAACTCTGGGTCTCCTACCATCCAACTTGTCAGATGTATAAAAACAATATAAAATCAAGTTCATAGCAACTTTAACACAGTGCCAGCTGATTTTATTCTGCCATTGGCATTTATCAATGGAAAGATCTATATTCTAAATGTACCATTGAAGAAAGCCTTACAATTTTTCTATTAAAAAGAAATGAATGGTATTTCACATTGTGAAATAAATCTATAGGATTATGGTATTAGGCAATTCTTACATCTGGAGGCCAAGAAATCTGGAATAATTAAAACCTAAACCAATTTAGATAATTGTCCCACTAACCAAAAATAAAATAAAGTAACCAAGGAAGAAAGCAAACAAGTAAGAAAATATCACATGGTTTTCTCCTTTTATTCCCTCCCAGTAGTCACTAAACACAAATCGCTACATTGCTTGCTCCACCTGCCTGCTTCAACTCCCCAAAAGATAACCTAGGAAAGACGAAAACGTTTATGGGCTTCGATAGTCCCAAAACAGAGTAACGCATTTCAGAATGACTAAAACTTGACTGTATTCTGTTTCAGTTATTCACAGCTTATTGAATAATATAATCACTAAGAATTAATAAGTCTACCAAGCTCCAAGACAATTTTCTCTTTTACAAGTGCATGGAAATATAGTGATTACAACCAAAAATCCACTTACTTGAGCCACTGAAGATTTTTGAAGGAGTAACCTTTGTAGTAGTAAAAACATAATAAAAATAACAGATGATACTTTAGCCGACAGGGGCAATAGGTTACGCAGAGAAGGATAAATAGAGAGTTACAGGTAAAGGATTAACAAGCAAAAGAGCTTACTGTGTGGTCTCAGAAAATGGTACTGGCAAATGAGAGATTTAATTTCATTATTTCATGGAGCCAGGTCTAGGCTGTGTTGAGCCGAAGCCCTTATTCGCACGGTGAAGAGTACAAAGTCTGTCAGCTGATTTACAAAGCACAGTTATTAACACCAGAGTCAGGGTGGTGGAAGTAACAACAAACATCCAGCAGCACTCTTGGATGTCTTAACCAAGGTTAGAGCAAGGTCATAAATAATACGGCAAAACTAATCTCCTCAGCATTGTTTCGGGAGAGTTCCTCTGGAATGGGGTTATTTCCGATTCTAAGGATCACTTAAGTGCTTAACAGATATAGATATAGATGTGACTAGCAGTTTTCTAGGCTTGACGACCTCTCTCTGTAAAAGATGAAGACCTTAAGAATAAAAGGTAAGTCAGCTCAAGTCATAATTCTATTCCCTTTTCTTCATTCCCCCCCCTCACCACCCCCCCCCCCCGAAAAAACCCTCACCACTCTGTCTTCCTTCTCTATTTTGCTTTGGGGAAGTCTTGAGGTAGTCTTTTCTCCCACTCTGAGTATCTGTCTTATATGGTGTGTAGCACAGAAGCCCAGGCAACAACACAGGGCCTGCACCACAGAGGGTCAGTCAACATTCTTTCCTGCCCTTTAGACAGGCCAAGAGCGTAAGTGATCCAATGGTTGGCTTCTTCAGGAAGCTCAGGGGGCAGCTTTGATCAATGCCTCTGCTCCCAACAACTTCAGTGATTCAGTACAAATCCTCTCTCAGGTTTCTCTTGTAAGTCATTCATGACAAAACCAAAAAGTCATAAATTAAAAAAAAAAAAAAGATGGTATGTCCGTTATTGGAACAAGTTATTGGCAGCAAAGAGAAAATAAAGCAAACCCAAGAAAATAGATAAAACTGAGAACCAACAAATCAGATTAGAAAACAAGATGCTGCTGGTATTTAAATACAGTAATCCCATGGCAACAATTTAATTGTTGCCTTTTTGCCATACTCCCAGGTTTCTCTCTTTTGGGGCTGGACACAACTTTTCATTTCTCTGTGTACTTGGAGATTCGCAGTGGACGACATTATTAACTACTCACTTGGGCTTGCTTGCATACTTTATAAGGGTGAAGTGTTTCTTGGTAGAAAAGCTGATGATAAGCCTGTAGGTCAAACCAGAAGTACACACTGTTCTTCCACAACTGCAGACGGAAAGATGGAAAAAGTACATAAATTATTACCACCCAGTCATTAAAATTCTAAAAAGCTCTAATTTCAAATATGAATAATTGTTTAACTCCTTGGGGTTATCATAAATCACGCTCAATTTAAGATGGTTTTATATTCTATCACAAATCGGGAACATACAAAATAATTACTTGTATTGTCACTTAAACATTATATTTTTGCAGGTATGTTTCTCTCCTAATAGGTCATTAAAATAGTAAGTGTTCTAGTTAATAATTAAAGAGTAATTACATATTTCTGGCATGAACCCAAAAATCTAAGTGTATTTTGGTATATAAAGGCAAGTGTACATCATAACAGAACCAAACACTACTCTTCATTTAAGCCAGTGAAATTCTTTTCATTTGAGGCAAAGCAAAGACTTTGTGAATTCAAAAAATAAAAATAACTTTGCCACTATCCCCTGCACCTTGTAATTGGTATAATTATTAAAATCATATTAAAGGATTGATAGAAATCCACTCTGAATACAATATATATTATATTGAAAGAGTTATGTAAAAATAAACTATTGTTAACAGTGCAAGTCAATCTTGTCTATCTGTATATTATCTTCTTTATAATTTTAGTAGGATAGTGAACCAAAGAAAACTATAACTGAAATGTTTACAATTTTACTAAATATTTTGCATGAAATTTCTTACCAGAGATGGGAATTTCAACATCAAGTACAATTATTTGAGCATTGAATTATTTCATCCTCTCTTATTTTAAAATGAAGTAAAAATATAAAATTATGCTTCAAATAATTATTTTCTACCTTGTTCCCTGAATGCTCACAGAATTTAGTAAAGAAGAATCCAGCTCTATTTTCTACATACAAAGACTGCAACAAATTTTCCATGTCAAATCCTCCCAAAGCACCAGCTGCCATGGTTTTAACCTAGATAGCAAAACAGAAGACCATTATCCACCCAAAACATTGTAATTTTTATGGCATTGCACAACAGGGTTTCATAAATTCTGCCAGGCTGTCGTTTCCCCACTGGACTATTTTATTTTTGTACTATATATGTAATCAATGCAGTATGTTTGCATCTCACTGTCATGTGAGGTTCATTCTGGAGCCAAGGATAGCAGCAGAGTTTGTTCTATTTTAAACCAATCTGATCTCAAACGTAATGTTAAAACGACTTCCCAACCTCAACTATTTTCTTGTTTCAGGCACAGTGATACCACTTCAGGAGTCTTCCAAGTCACTGTTGGTGGTCTCTTTCCTATGTGTTTACTGTTATTTTAGCCTTGAGGTGCTGCTATAATAGCTACAAGAGAGTTATAAAAAGAACTATCTTCAAGGCCTCTCAGTGCTGCTTGTTAACAGTCTTGTGGGGGGTGGGGGGTGGGGGATGTCCCGCTTTGGACAGTCTCACCCCATACAGGCCGTAGCCTTCAGAGTGTAAATGACAGTACAAGTTCTCATAAAACTTTGCTATTTATGGGCTTCTCTGCCAGCAATGCTGGCAACCCTAACATCATCCTTGAAACACAGAAAGCTGGCTGTTTCTCCAGGCAGAGAGTTACACTAGAGAGCAAACGGGCATCTACATTCGCATTAACTCTTTGCTACTTCTGCGCGGAACTCAGACTTCTTAATCCTAAAATAACTGCGGCATAAACAATGCAGGGTTTAAGTAAGGTCCTTGTTTTCTCTTTGTTATAGTGTCTCTCTGCCTCTCTCTTTATGGACCTACTGAACGAACTCTGAGGTGAGAATTTAATGTTTTCATGATGTCTAACCACTGACATTCCAAAACTAAAATATCATTATTTTGGCAGGAAAAAAATCTTAATTAGAAGAAAAAGGGAACTGCTTGCTTAGAATAAAACAGTTACACAAAATTATATCCAAGTGTTCAGACTACATCAGGACTACCAAGGTTACTACCTAAAGTATAATCCTTAGAGAATGTGAAATTGTCATATAGAATTGGTGTGGAAATCCACATTTTCAAGGTAGCCAGATTACAAAAATATTTCATAAAAATTCTAAGCTTCCAAAACATAAAATCAAATAATATTATTTTCATCAAGTGTTACAAGCTTAATAAAAATCCTATAGGGTATTATTTTGTTTTCAAAATGCCTTCATACTAAAACCAGAACACAGCTGTTTTTTAAAACAGTAATCAATGGAATATACAGCAACACGGTTCTACAAAAGGGAACACAGAAGAAATCTTTGTGTAAAAATCCTTTTGCCAGGCAAAAATAAAATGTGGTGTTTAGTAGAGAAAAAATATTATAATAAATCAATAAAACATTTTTTAAATCAAGGCAAACTGATGAGTGAAATGAGGAATCAGATTAATCAGTCCTCAAAATACTTACCAAAGGTTCTTCTGTATAAGTATATCTTCTATCCAGCTGGGGCTTCAGACATTCAGAAATGTCAGTGAAAGATGTTAAATGAATAACTTCATTGCTGTCTCTCATGTATCTTGACCTAAATTATAAGGATATGAACTAATTGATCAGCAAATATTCTGAGTACCTTTGGTATACATGTGAATCACATTAATAAAATGAGAGATAAAATCATATCATCATCTCAATAGATATAGAAAATGCATTTGACAAAAATTTAACACCCATTCATGAGTAAAACTCTCAACAAAGTGGGTATAAAGGGAATGTACTTTAACCTAATAAAGGCCGTAAGTGACAAGCCTTCAGCTAATATCATACCCATCAGTGGGAAGATGAAAGCTTTTCCTCTAAGATCAGGAACAAGACAAGGATGTCCACTCTCATCATTCTTATTCAATACTAGTACTGGATGGCCTAGCTAGAGCAATTAAGCAAGACAAAAAATAAAAATAAAAGGCATCCAAATCAAAAAGAAAGAGGCAAAACTGTCACCTCAAATACTCAGGATGACTAGTATTTTTTAAAATCAGAAAATAACAAGTGTTAGTACGGAGGAATTGGAACTTTTGTACACTATTGGCAGCAATTTTAAATGGTATAGCCACTGTGGAAACAGTATGTCAAATCCTCAAAAAATTAAAAACGGAATCACCAGTTGATCCAGCAACTCCACTTCTGGGTATATACACAAAAGAATTGGAAGTAGGGTCTTGAAGAGACTTGTACATACATGTTCATAGCAGCATTATTCACAGTAGCTGAAATGTGAAAGCAACCCAAGTGTCCATTGATGGCTGAATGATTTAAGTAATATATGATATACTTACATATAGTATATGTATATTAATGTACAGGGGTAGGCAAAAGAAGGTTTACCGTTTTTGTATGAAAAAAGACATGCAGTTATGGAAATAATAATACAATAATAAGCTGTGTTTCACATGCTCACAACAGTAAACCTACTTTTGCCTGCCCCTGCATACATAAAATGAACAATTATTTAGCCCTAAAAAGGAATGACATTCTGAAATATGCTACGACATGGATGAACGCTGAGGATATAAGACAGCTGCAAAAAGACAAATAATTTCCTTTATACAAAGTACTTGGAATAGTCAAAATCATAGAGACAAAGTAAAATAGTGGTTGTCAGAGCTGGCAGAGGAGGGAATGGGTTGTTCTTGCTCAGTGGGTATAGAGCTTCAGTTGTATAAGATGGAAAAAATTCTGGATGGATGAAAACAGTTCTGGAGATGGATGGTGGCGATGACTGTACAATATTACTAATGTATTCAGTAGCACTAAAGTGTACAGTTAAAAAGGGTTAAAAACCAAACCAATGAGCAAAATAGAGACAGACTCCTAGAGAGCAGGCTGACAGCTCTGGGGGGAGGAAGCAAGAAGGAAAAGGGGCTCATGGGCATGGACAGCAGTGTGGCGGCTGGAGGGATGGAGGGGGCCTAACAGGGATAAATGGTAATGGAAAAAATGCAATAAAAAATATATAGTGTAAAAAAACAAAAAGGAGTTAAGAAGGTATATTTCTTATTTTGTGTATTTTACAACAATCAAATAAAAATTTAAAAAATCAGAGATGTACTTTCAGCATTTGAGGTTGCTTTTCCCCGAAGTTCTGCTCATAATGAAGAGCATCTGAAAAACTGAGCATCATGCTTCATGGTTGGCAAACCCAAAGACTGAAGCCTAGTAGTAAGGAAACAATGGAAGGAAACCGATCCTCGCACATACTGTGGCATGACTTTAGTCTTTTTGTTTGCTCAGATTAAGATTATCCTACATTACCAATGCTTGAGTAAAAAAAGGAAAAATTTATTCCAGAAAAATATGTCAACCAAAATCTCAAATAAATTCTACAAACAATATTTCAAATGGAAGACATAGCTTAAAATTAGCCAATACAGAAGAGCAGACAAAAAAAGAGAAAGAACAAAATTCATCTTAAAATAGAAAAATGGAGATTCACAGGAGCTTCAGGTATTAAAAATATCAGACACAGACCTTAAGCAACTATGATCTAGGGAATTAAAAAAAAAAACTGAGAATTTTGGCAGAGAACTAGAAAACCAGAAAACATATCATAACAGACCTAAAAAGAGCTAAAGATAAATTACAGAAAATACAACAACTGAAGTTAGGAGCATTAAATGTAAATAACAACAGATAAGACACAGTTGACGGGAGAACTAGAAAATAAGTCAAAAGAAAATGCCCAGAACAAGATAGAACACAGAAGACAGGGTATGACAGAATAAATTAAGAAGGTCTCGCATACATTTAATTGGAATCCCAGAATAAGAGTAAATAAAGAGTAACATTACAAGAGTTAACAGCTGATCATTTTCCAAAACTAATGAAAACCATTAAAGCCACAGGTTTTTTTTATTGTTGACACTATTACAGCTGTCTCCCATTTTCCCTCCTCCCCCGCCCCACCAAGCTTCTGACACACCCCTGCCTTCACCACATTGTTGCCTATGTCCATGGGCTTTGCATACATGTATATATGTACTTTGGCTGAGCTCTTCCAGTCCCTGTAACCCCTCCCCTCTGAGATCTATTAGTCTGTTCCATGTGTCCATGCCTCTGGTTTTATTTTGTTTGTTAGTTTATTTTGCTCATTAGATTCCACATATAAGTGAGATCATATGATATTTGTCAAAGCAGATTCAATAACCCAGAGTTGAACACAAAAAAAGTAAACCCACATTTAAAGATATTTTTAAAATTATAAAAATTTTATAATTATGGTAAATTAGAGTAAAATTATTTTTAAAAAGCCAAAATACAAAAGTAATACTAAAACAGCTGGAAAAAAGACATGTCTTCAAAAGAAAAACAATTAGCCTAACAGCTAATATAGCAGTCCTCCCTCATCCATGGTTTCTCTTTTCAGTTTCTGTTACTCATGAGTAGCAGTAACTATGGTCTGAAAATAATAGATGGAAAATTTCAGAAATAAATAATTCATAGGCTTTAAATTGTTTGCTCTGCTGCGTAGCATGACAATATCTCATGTTGTCCTGCTCTGTTCGATCTGGGACATGAATCACCCCTTTGTCCAGTGTATCCAAGCTGTATGTGCTAACCCCGTATTAGTCACTTAGTAGCCATCTTGGTTATCACATCAACTGTCATGGTACCATAATACTTGTATTGAAGTAACCCTTAGTTTACTTAATAATGGCCCCAAAGCATAACAATAGTGATGCTGGCTATTTGGATATACCGAAGAGAAGCCATAAAGGGCTTCCTATAACTGAAAAGGTGAGTAGAGAAAAATAAGATATTTTGAAAGAAAGACCACATACACTTAACTTTTACTGCAATATATTGTTATAATTGTTCTATATTTTTAGTTTTGTTGTTAATCTCTTGCAATGCTTAATTTGTAAACTGAGCTTTATCATGAGTGCACATGTATGAAAACCATAGTATATATAGGGTTCTACAACTATCCAAGTTTTCAGGCCCCCACTGGGGGTCTTGAAATGTATTTTCTGTGGATAAATGGGGACTACAATATTGAGGCAGAAACACTGAAAGCAATAAGATAACAAAATAGTCTACAGCCAAACCACACTGAACGCACCTGATCTCATCTGAAGAAAATAACAAAATAGTACCTCAAAGTGCTGAAAGAAAATAAGTACCAATCTATAATTCTATACACAGCAAAAATGTTTAACAGCAATTTTCAATAGTTGTGCTGCAGCATACTGGTGTGCTGCAAGAATTTTTAAAACACGCAATACCTGACTATTTAGTCATGGGCCCCGATGTTTTTCCCTTAAATTGTCAAATAAAAAAATGACAACAGCCAATACAATAGCCATCTGGTATAAGTGAATCAAAATGATACCTATTTTCTGTCAGATCAGCAAAAAATATATCTTTTGGTATGCCACAGAATTTTAGTAATTAGTTTACATGTGCCATGAGAAAAGTTGAAATCACTGATATTTGAGAATGAAGGTAACCACAACATAAATGAATCTTGAAAACATCATGCCAAATGAAACATGCTAGAAACAAAAGGCCACCTATTGTATGATTTCATCTATATGAAATGTCCAGAATAGGCAAAGCCTTAGAGACAGAAGGCAGGTGAGTGGTTACCGGGGCTGGGGGAGGGAGAAATGGGGAGTGATTACTAATGAGGCAGTGCTTCTTCTAGGGCTGATCGAATGTTCTGGCATTATCCAGTGGTGATGGTTCCCTAACATTGTAAACATACTAAAAACTGCGGGATTGTACACGTGAACATGATTAATACGGCGAGTCTTACGTCGTGTGAATTTTATCTTAGTAAAACAATGAAAGTAAAAGAAAAGGAACTAATGAAAGTGAAGTGATCAATTATTAAACACTGAATTATTCACCAGCAGATACCACACCAAAATTAATACCAAGGATATTTTTTTCAGGCTGAAAAGTAATCATGCCATTTTTAAAAAACAAGAAAAAGGATAAATGTATGGGCCAATCTAAATGAATAATATACTCTATTAAATAATGACAATATTATTGAGAGGCTTATAAGTTCTCCAGTTTGTGCAATATTGAATTACTAAACAGGACCAAGTAAGAATGGAGGGCAAGCTTCTCGGAGAAACCTGATTGTATGGCCGATGAGAAACTGGAGACCAGAAGCACCACCTCTTTAAAGTACAAATCTCAGGAGTTCTGCTCCTTATTTAAAGTATACATGGGAAGTATTAACCCCCATCACTAAAGTATAAGTACCTATGTAAAAAAAAAAATCAGTGTATTGGTTTTCAATTTCTATTTCATTTTTCATTTAAAAAAATCTCACCCATTGCAGAAAAGCGCTTGGCCCAGGAAAAGCCGCACCTACCCTTTCTCAATCCTGTCGTCCTCCCAAGAAACTGAATACCAAGTCTCACTCTTCCCAGGGTTTTGATTTGCTGTAGTTGGTTTCTTGGGAGACTTACAAGGTTGTAGGAAGCTGGATTCTTCTTTCTAACAAGTGGTAAAATAATGAACAAAGTGAAAATGAGCAAATTGGAAAGAAAGAAAAAAGTAGGTAGAGAATAAAAGCATAGCTCTGCGCGTATACCTAAAGTTTGTTTTGATTACTAGAAGATTCATTCCCTTATGCCACTGCCTACTCTTCTTCCCACTATAATAAAATCCTTCTTCTTCCCAAACTCCCACTTTTATGAAACCAGTAAGCTGAAACCCCTAGAGCTATTTAACCTCTTATAAAGGAAAGGCCAAAGGCTTTTATTTCCTTACTCACGTCATTGTGAAAAAGGACTCTTTCCTGGAGGAAGAACTTTGTAAAAACTTTTCTTTATAGCTTACTAGGTTTTAGTGCTTGTGTCTGCGTTCCCGTGCCTGGGTGTGGCAGCATGGAAAATGGGGGCGGCAACAGGGGAAGGACGCAAGGACACCAGCGGCCGTAACAGAGACCTGTATCTCAGCAGAGCTATTTCCTTCCATTTAAAAACAAAAAAATCGTATTCATGATTATTGTTCCCATTCTTAAATGTTCTTTATGGTAAAAAGTTTTTAAATCCAGAATATGAGATGCTATGTAATCAAAAAAGTATGAACATCAAAATAAAAGGCTAAACATTAACGTAAAAGGAGAAGAGTTCTTTTTGAATATGGGATATATATATATATATAAATAAATGTAACATTATACAACACTTAAAAGTAAGGACTATGAAAATTATGACACACGTGGAAAAACGCTGACGATAGTAAGACGTAATCAACACAAAAGCATAAGTGCATTGAAATTAAAATTTCACAAGCCTAAGAGAAAATAAATAAATATTGGATAGGCCAAAAAGTTCATTTAGTTTTTTTCCATAAAATAAGAGACAAATTTTTCAATTTCACCAATAACTTGATTTGGAATTTTGAGTATGTCGGCTATCTCCCATGTGGTATAATGTTGATTGTTCTCAGTTAATGACTCTACTTGATCACTATCAACATCAACCAGTCTACCCGACTGGGGAGCATCGTCCATCATAAAATCTCCAGCAGGAAATTTGCAAACCACTTCTGACATGTTCGATCAGTCACAGCACCTTCTCCATACACTGCACAAATCTTTTTCTGCATTTCAGTTGCATTTTTACCTTTCTAGAAATAATAAAGCATAATATGCCGAAAATGTTGCATATTTTTTTCCATCATCAATACTAAAATGGCTACACACAAATTTGCCAATTTTGAAAGGTATTTTTAAAATGAATGCTGATGTGACAGTTGTCACAATACAATCAAACAAAATCATTTCAAATGAAGCTAAAGACAACTAAGCACTACTAGAGCCATCTCACAGAAAAAAAAAAATGAATTCTTCAGCCAACCCAATAGTTGTCTAGAAGTGAGATCAGAATAATTTGTTTCTTCAGTTTCCAAATTTACAGTAGCTTTATTATTTTTATAATTGAAAAAGACGGGTAAAGTTTTCTTATTTGTCCACTTCCATTAAAATTAGAATGTAATATATGTTGTTGGAGAGCAAGAAATATATTTTTGAGGTTTTTATTATCCAGAACAAATAGTAAAATCTTGTGTATATATACTCTAGATTCCTAACAACTATGGTTTTTAAAGAATTCCATAAACAAAGTTAATTACTGAGGTATGTTTTACATATAACTTCCTAGGTATCATGGATCCCATCTGTTTTAGTAATTCAGAACACAGCATGACACTAAGCAGCACTCAATAAATAAGTGGTACCACAGGAAGCTGAGCTTATTAAATGTGTATCCTACAATGGAAACAGCCTGGGTGTACCTCCATAGATGAATGGATAAAGATGTGGAACATATATACATTATAATACTACTCAGCCATATAAAAGAATGAAATCTTGCTATTCGCGTCAACATGGAGGGACTACCTAGAAGGGTATTATGCTAAGTGAGATAAGTCAGAAGAGGGCAAATGTTGAGTCATTTCATTTACATGTGGAATCTAAAAAACCAAATAAAACAGACTCATGGACAGAGTATAAACTGATAGTTGCCAGAGGGTTGGATGATGGGGAGATGGGCAAAAAGGTGAAGCAGATTAAGAGGCACAAACTTACAACATAAATAAGTCACAGGGATGAAATGTACAGCACAGGGAATATAGTCAATATCACAATAACTTTGCATGGTGACAGACGGTTCCTAGACTTCTCATGGTGATCATATTATAAGGTACATAAATGTCAAATCATTATGTTATACACTTGAAACTAATATAATTTGCATGTCAAATATACTTCAATTAAAAAGAGCCTTCTATTCCAGAATAAAAATTTTTTAAAAGTGTTTTATACAAAAATGGTCAAATTCATAGAAAAAGAAAGTAAATGGCGGTTACCAGAGGCTGAGGGAGTAGAAAAGGTAGTTGTTTTAATGGGTGTTTAGTTTCATATTTGCAAGATAAAAAAAGGTCTGGAGATCTATTTCACAACAAAACAAATATACTTACTTTTGAAGTATACAAGTAAGATAGCAAATTTTATGTTATTTTCCACAATAAAAAAAAGTTTTCTTAAAAAGTTTTTTAAGTGTACTATATAGTAAGGGAAAAGCCTAAATTGGAATTTTTGAGCTTCTGGCTCAGGTGAAAACTAGGAGAATAGCTAGAAATTAACTAATGGGGAAAATACCTGACAAAAGGGCACAGTAAAATAGGTGTTAGGTGGGTAAAGAAAACCTACTCTATTGTGATTGTGATGGTAGTTACACAAAGTATACACTTGTCACAATTCACAGAAATGCACACTAAAAAGGGAGAAGTTTATAGCATATAAATTATACCTCAACTTTTAAAATGGGAAAAATAAAGAATTAGAGTGTTTTCTGCCAAGGAAAGACAGAGTGAGATCAGAATGAGTTACCCAACTAGAAAACATCAGTGACAACATATGTGAATGGTACTTGGGAAGCCACAGATCAGAACAGATGAGAGGTCAATGTCATGTTCATACCACTTTTTACATGAGCCAGTGAATAACATTTTTACATGAATAACATTGCTCTGTTATTCAACTTCCTTTCATTAACCATACCACTTACCTTTTCTTCTGCCTTACCTCTCAAATGTTGTACAAATATTATTTATACAAATGTTTACATGTTATCAGATGACATGCTCCCTATACTACACCTCTAAAACGTGTATTGACTTGGTGACCATGTCACTAAGTTACATGGGCTATCAGGGAAGATTAGATTTGTCAGTGGGGTGGCATACAAAAGAGGCCACAAGGTCAAAGGTCAGGAAAATGTCAAGACAATGGATAAGAAACCATTAGTGCATTAAGATGACACTAATTCAAGTGCAGTCCCCAGACCAGCAGCAAGAGCATCACCTGGGAGGGAATTTGTTAGAAATGCAAATTCTTGGCCTCACCCCAGACCTATGGAATCTTGATCTACAAGTGGAGCCCCGGCTAAAGAGAGAATCTTAAAAGCATCAAGAACAAAGCAGTTAGTTACCTACAGGGGCATTTTCCATAAGACTGTCAGCTGATTTCTCAAAAGAAACCTTGCAGGCTAGAAGAGATTGGCAAGGAATACGCAGTCACGAAAAGCAGGGACCTACAGCCAAGATTGCTTTACCCAGAAAAGATTTCATTTATAATGGAAGGGCAAATAAAAAGATTCCCATACAAGAAAAGACTAAAGGAGTTCATCATCACCAAACCATTATTATATAAAATTTTAAAGAAAAAAAGATCAAAACTATGAACAATAAAGTGGCAATAAATACAAATCTATCAACAATTTAATCTAAAACACAAACTAAACAAACAAGAAGGAGAGAGACAGAATCATGCATACGGAAAGCATTTTGATGGTTGCCAGATGGGAGGGGGTGTGGGGGAATGTGTGCAGAGGTGAGGGGATTAAGAAGTACAAATAGGTAATCACAGAACAACCATGGGAATAGAACGTACAGTATAGGGAATGGAGAACTTATACACATGACCCATGGACGTGAACAGAAGTGTGGGGATTGCCTGTGGGTGTGGGGGCTGCTGGATGGAGGGGGAAAAAAGGAAAAAGTGGGACAACTGTAATAGCATAATCAATAAAATAAAATTTTAAAACACAAAAGCTCTTCAGATGACTGTTCCGTATGCTGAAGAACCACCAGCCCATACCAGTGCTTTAAATACCAATCACCTAGGTATTCTATTAAAACATAGCTTCTAAAAGGTGATTCTAGTGTTCAGACATGTTGAGAACCTCAGTTCTAAGCCAACCCCCTAATTTTACAAAGTGACTCTGATCCTTTCCAGATCAATTAAATCAGAATCTCTGAAGGTAGGATTCATGCATCAGCATATTTTAAATGCCTGCTATGTGATTCTAATGCATATGTATCTATGATTAACAAACCACTGACGGAAAAGTTGTAAAATCTCCCCAGCTCTAAAACATTGCTTGTTGGAGTAAAACTTGAAAAGCTATATTACACCTCTTCTTTCTTTTACAGTAAGGTATCTTGAATATAAAGTTTTTTAAAGGGGTTGTTTGTGACTATGACCAATAACACATTCTGTCACATGTTTAAAGGCTACTAAGATTAATAAGGCTATTTCTGAAAAGCAGAACTTAGCTACAGTTATTGCATCTCTGTGCCGAAAATATGTAGCAGTATTTACTTCTTCTGTAAAAGTTAGCTAAATCTTCTTCTCTTTTTGGATTTTTTCCCCCTTATCTTTTTGTACTACTTTATTCTTCTCCAATGTGAAAGAATACTCACTATTTCTAATTCTGCCGTTGCTACTTCTCATTCATTTAGTCAATTTATATTTATTAAGCAACTCTTATGTGCCTGGCACTATTCTAGGTGCTGGGCATGAGTAGTTGACAAAGAAAAATCTCTTTCATCAAAGGCGAAGGCACTAAACAAATTATGTGATCCTTACTACAATGAAGCAAAATAAAGCAGAGCAGAGGACGTAGAGACAGAGGGTGTCGTGCTGTCCTACACAACTGTGCTTCTACAGAAGGGTCAAGGAGAGCCTCTCTGAATCAGTGACAGCCGAGCAGACACCTAGAGCAAGTGAGGAGGAAAGCCACGTGGGTATCTGGGGCAAGTGTGCTCCCCATGGGGGGAACGGCAAGTGCAAGGCGCCTGAGTTTTTGGTGGGTGTGTCCAGAGACAAGCAAAGAGGCCGTGGAGGAGGCAGTGGAGTAAAGTAGAGGAACGTGGTAGGAAACAGGGTCAGGAGGTTAGCAGAGGCATGGACCACTGGGTAGAGACCTTGAATTTTTATTCTGAGGTTCTCAACATGTCTGAACACTAGAATCACCTTTTAGAAGCTATGTTTTAATAGAATACCTAGGTGATTGGTATTTAAAGCACTGGTATGGGCTGGTGGTTCTTCAGCATATTTAGAGAATTTTGAGCAAGTAAGTCACATGATCCTGTATTTTTAAAGGATCACTTTGGCTGCTCGGTGGAGAACAAATTATAGGTTTTCTTCCGTCCTAATTGTTGCAGCATGTACATTAACAACCACCAGAAAGAAAGAGAGAAGCTTATGATGGAATTTAGTGTACAAAACCCAAGCACGGACATTTTACTATAAACTTAATAGAGATCAAAGTATCAGGGTACACCCTACCTGTATATCAGATATCTGTGGAATGCAAGATTTAGGTCTTAATGGCAAAAGGGTTGCTATTTGTGGAAAGGGGTCAACGTCCTTCCTTGGCCTCTCTTGACGGAGGTGCCACAGTTTCAGTTCAGCACTAGCATATTTTGCTGAGCACGAATGGGTAACACAGAATCTTGGTGCCCTAGTGAGAGGAAAAGAAACTTATGATTAAACTACACAATGAGCCTCAAAACTACAAGAGCTTACAAAGTGTGTATTAGTTACCCTCATACCTATCAGTCTTGCCATCCCCTTTTCTAATAATTTCTACTTCCTTTTCTGCTGCCTAGCTTTAAAAAAATAATTTTTCTATGATACATCAACTGCCTGAAATCACATTCACTCATACAAAAAGGCAATATATACTCATACAAAGAAGAACAAATAATTTAAAAATTACATTCAAATTATCATATACATAAGAAAAATAACCTATATACCTATTTGATGAAGGAAAATTTAAAACTTAGAGTTTCTAATAAAATGAACATAAAATACACCTGTGACAATTTTAAGACAGGTTAGTATTTACTTATAGTGCCAAATAAAAACCGGTGGATAAAATTAACACTTTAAATATGTAAACATTTTATAATGCTTAAGTATACTGCTAAAGTTGGTTATGAGTCATATGATGTATTTTCAAGCCTTAAATTTGAAGGTAAGAGTTGATTTTACAATAATTTATATAAATGAAAGAGCAATACTACTGCCAGAAACTTAGGGAAAAGAATGTTTGGCACACTATCACGGCCACACTTAATTGGATAGATATCCTGGTATTCAGTCTGAGGCCTAACTCTTGATTGGCCTTAGGGTTAACTGCAACTGTCAGGAAATGTTGCTAATTGCTGGTTTTCATGCCATAACACAAAGAAAAATTCCCATCCCTTATTTCAGATCCTGGTAGAAAATTACATTCTATTAAGAAAAGAAGAAGATAAATGTTTCCCTGAAGTGAACACAGGTTGGGAGTGGAAGAGAATCTAAAATTAATAATTAGTTTAGGATCAGAAAACATCCTGTAGAGACTGGGGTGTTAACTCTACACTATATTTTAGAACCTATACCTGCAGACTTGGAAATATTCAGAATTACCTATTATTTGCATATCAGCCAGTAAGTGAGCATATATACAAGATACTTATCAAGTAAATCATACATACGCTGGCCAGAAAATCCAAGTGTCTCAATTTTCTGATTCCCAACATTACAGTATATTCATATGACCCCATGAGTTTCCATTACCCCTACCATTTAAATCTTGCATTCATATTTCATTCATTGCATTAATTTTTATTAGCTACTATATGAATTCATCAAATATTATAGAATAAATTTCAGTCAATCCTAAACTGGTGGTGTATTATTTTTCATGATTCCATCATACAAGTTTTCATTATACTACTTATTGTACACATCTTAATTCTCAAGCTCTAGAGAGTAGGAGAAGGTATTGCATTTGCCACATAATACCATTAAAGAAACTGTATGTGTGTGCATATGTGTGTGTATCTCCCAATAGTAAAATGTGTAAAGAAGATAAATAGGCAATTCATGAATTCATGAAAATTGAAATCCAAGTGACCAATAAACATTGAAAAGGTTATCAACCTCACCAGGAAAATGCAAGTTAAAACCAGAAGACATCAATGACACACCAGACACAGTTAAAAATTTTAAAGTATGATAATATTAAATTCTACCATGGATTTGTAGCAATGGGTACTCTCATATTCTGTTTGTGGGAGCATAAGTTGGTAAAACTACTTTGGAAAAATGGATATGTATACAAGAATATACATTACAGCATGGCTTATAATTGTGAAAAGTAGAGAACAATCCAAATGTTTGAAAAATGGCAAATAAATTAAAGTATGTGAGGTCTGTCCAGAAAAAGTCCAGCCATTGTTAATATAATCAGAATGGTTTGTGTGACATGGATGCAAACTGGCGGCCAACAAGAGTGGACTGGAATGTGCATGTCTGAACAATGACGGCTTCACTGTACTAGTCAGTGGGTGCAGTAGACACTGCTGAGTGAGCATGTGTGCTGTGTGGCCCTTGCATTCAAAATGACTGAGGGAGTACAGCAAGTCTACATCAGACTTTGCATTAAGCTTGAACATTCCTCTGTGGAAACTATTCAGGTGACTCAGAAGGCCGCAGCTATGGGCAACTGGTGATTGGTAGCTTCATTGACAACATGTCTGCTCATGCATCACTTCTCATGCACAATTTTTTGGTGAAACATCAATTCACCCAAGTGACTCAGTCCCTCTACGGCCCAGGGTTGGCACACCCTAGACGCAGGGTACAGCCCTGAGACTTCTGGCTCTTCCCAAAACTAAAGTCACCTTTGAAACAGAAGAGATTTCAGACAGTTGATGAGATTCAGGAAAATATGATGGGGCAGCTTATGGCAATTGGGAGAACTGTGTGAGGCTCCTGGGTGCCTATTTTGAAGGGGACTGAGGCATCATTGTCCTATGAACAATGATTCTTGTATCTTATATCTTCTTCAACAATAAATGTCTATTTTTCATAGTACATGGCTGGATACATTCTGGACAGACCTCATATTCATGCAGCGGAACACTATATACAGTAATAAAAATTAGTAATACTCTTAAATGCAATTACTAGGATTCTCACAAATGTTAATGGAAGACACAGAAGGATGTGTACAACATGGTTCCTTTATATAAAGTTGTAAGGCAGGCAGATGAAAATATATGTTTAGAGATTTATTTGCATACATCATCAGTAAAACTATAAAGAAAAGCAAGAATATGATAATCACAGAAGTCAGGACAGTGGTTACCTTTGAAGGGGAGTGAGGGCATGATCAGGAAGGGACCTTCAGGCATCTTGGCAATGTTTTCTTTCTCAGCCTACATGGTGGTTACAGAAGTATTTACTATAATATTCATTGAACTGTTTAAGCCTTAGTTTGCAATTTAAAGAGTACCCAAGATTGTGCAAGATCAAGAAAAAAGGCCCAAAAAACAAAAGCCTGGACCAGATGGCTTCACAGGCAAATTTTACCAAACATTCAAAGAGGAATTAACTCCTCTCCTTCTCAAACTATTTCATAAAATTCAAGAGGAGGGAAGGCTCCCAAACTCATATTACTAGGCCAACATTATCCTAATTCTGAAAACAGACAAAGACACTACAAAGAAAGAAAATTATAGGCCAATATATTCCTGAGGAACACAGATGCTAAAATCCTCAACCAAATATTAGCAAAACAAATACAGCAATGCATCAAAAAGATCATAGACCATAACCAAGTGAGATATATTCTGGGCATGCAAGGTTGTACAACATTTGCAAATCAATAAAGTGACTCACACGTAGGCATAATGAGGGATAAAAGCTATATGACCATATCAATAGATGCAAAAAAAAAAAAAGCATTAGATAAAAAACAGAACCCATTTTTGATAAAAACTCTCAGCAAAGTGGGATTAGAGGGAACATACCTCAACATAATAAAGGCCATATATGACAAACCCACTGCCAGCATTATACTCAATGGGTAAAAACTACAAGCATTCCCCTTAAGACCTAGAACAAGACAGGGATGTCCACTTTTACCTCTCTTATTTAACATAGCACTTGAAGTCCTAGCCACAGCAATCAGACAAGAAGAAGGAATAAAAGGCATCCAAATTGGAAAGGAAGAAGTAAAACTGTTTTTATTTGCAGATGACATTATACTGTACATAGAGAATCCTAGAGTCTACCAAGAAACTACTAGAACTGATATATGAATTCAACAAAGTAACAGGACACAAAGTTAATATCCAGAAATCAGTTGCATTTTTATAAGTCAATAACTAACATAAAGAGAAATTAAAAAAACAATCCCATTCACAATTGCTACAAAAAGAGTAAAATACTTAGGAATAAATCTAACCAAGAATGTAAAAGACCTGTACTCAGAAAATAATAAGACACTGAAGAAAGAAACTGAAGAAGATATAAATAAGTAGAAGTACATACCATATTAATGGGTAGGAAGAATTAGAATCATTAAAATGTCCATACTACCCAAAGCAGTCTATAGATTCAATGCAATTCCTATCAAGATTCCAATGACATATTTCACAGAACTAGAACAAATATTTCAAAAATTCCTAGGGAACCACAAAAGGCCCCGCATAGAAACAACGATCCCGAGAAAGAAGAACAAAGTTAGAGGTTATCGCACTACCTAATATCAAACTATACTATAAAGCCGTAGTAATCAAAAACAGCATAGCACTAGCATAAAAACAGACACATACATCAAGGTACAAAATAGAGAGCCCAGAAATAAACCCACATCTTTATAGTCAATATTCAACAGAGGAAGCTACCATATACAATGGGCTAAAGATTGTTTAGTCAATAAATTTGTTGGAATAATGACAGATATATGCAGAAAAATGAAACTAGACAACCTTCTTACACCACACACAAGAATATATTCAAAATAGATCAAAGACTTAAATGTTAGACCTGAAACAATAAAAATCCTAGAAGAAAACACAGGCAGCAAAATAACAGACACTGCTTAAAGTAGTACTTTATGGGATATATCTCCTCAGGCAAGGGAAACAAAAGAAAAAAATAAATGAATGGGACTACATCAAACTAAAAAGTTTTTGAACAGTAAAGGAAGTAATCAATGAAATAAAAAGACAACCTACAGAAGGGGAGAACATATTTGTCAATACATCTGATAACAGGTTAATATGCAAAATTTATAAAGAACTTACAAAACTCAACACCAAAAAAACAAACAACCCAATTAAGAAATGGGCAAAGGACCTGAACAGACACTTCTCCAAAGAAGACATACAGATCACCAATAGACATATGAAAAGATGCTCAAAGTCACTAATCATCAGAGAAGTGCAAATTAAAACCACAATGAGATATCCTCTCACACCTGTCAGAAAGGCTATCATCAATAAACCAACAAATATGTGCTGGCAAGAATGTGGAGAAAAGGGAATGCTCTTGCTCTGTTGGTGGGAATGCAGACTGGTGCAGACACGGTGGAAAGCAGAATGGAGATACCTCAAAAAATTAAAAATGGATCTGCCTCTTGACCCAGAAATCCCACTCCTGGGAATATATCTGAAGGAACCCAAAACACTAATTCAAAAGAATATAAGCACCCCTATGTTCATTCAGCATTATTTACAATTGCCAAGACATGGAAGCAGCCCAAGTGCCCATCAGTAGATGAGTGGATAAAACAACTACAGGACATTGACACAATGGAGTTCTACTCAGCCATAAAAAAGAAGAAAATTTTACCCTTTGCAACAGTATGAATAGACCTGGAAAACATTACGCTAAGTGAAATAAGTCAGTCAAAGAAAGACAAATACCATATGATTTCACTCACATGTAGCATCTAATGAACAAACTGAACTAACAAGGAAAATGGGGACAGACTCGTAGGTGGAGAGCAGGATGACAGCAGGGGAGGGGGAGGTTAGTGGGTGGAGGGATGAGCAAAAAGGAAAAAGGACTCCTGGACATGGACAACAGTGTGGTGACTGCTGGTAAGAGCGGGGCACAACGGGACTAAATGGTGATCGAAAAGAAAATACAGTGAAGATTCAATTTTAAAAAAGAAAAAAGGTTAAGAGAGGATTCTGGAAAATGTCAACATCAGCAATATTGTCTTTCTACCTCTCAGAATCCCTTCATAAAAGCAGACAGGACAAACAGGTAGCAAAACCAAACACTCATGGGACAACTTTACAACAAAAATGGAAAAGTACTGTTGATACCCACAATTTGGATGGATCTTGGGGAATGATGCTGAATGAAAAAAAAGAGAATCCCCCAAAATATGGAATAACCTGTCACATTATTTCACTTATACAATTAATTAGTGGATTCTAGCAGCTACAGATGAAGGAGAAGGGCAGGGAGGCGGGTGGGCATGGCTGTAAGAGGGCAGTACAAGGGGTGCTTGTGGCAATGTAACTAATTGTTTTGTCATTTTGACTGTAGTGGCAAATTCATGAATCCGTAATGTGATAAAATTTCATAGAACTAACTATACACACACAAAAATCAGTGCATGTAAAAGTGGTAAAATATGAAAAAAAAATTGGTGAATTGTATCAATGTCAATTTCTACATTATAACATTGTACTACAGTTATGCAAGTTGTTACCATTGAGGGAAAATGGATGAAAAGCACACAGAACATCTCTGTATTATTTTTTATAACTAAATATGATCTACAATCATCTCAAAATAAAAAGTGAAATTTAAAAAAGGAAAGTTTCTATTGTATTAGCAATGTTTTATTAAGTTGGGTGATATGTACACAAATGCCCACTATAGTATAATTTATACCTTTCTCTATTTTAAACACATTTTTTAAAGAAAGAAAGAGAAAAACAACATTTTATCTATGGAATAATACGAAACATATAAGTAACTGTACCGAGGTAGGGGATGATGTCCGAGACATGGGCAAGGGACTAATCATAGAGACCTCACTTTCTAACTTAAGGAATCTGAAAGTTTTTATACTGAAAGTTTGAGGGTTGCCATGGAAAGATTTAAGCTAAGTGACGTAATCAGATCCATCACAGCCACAAAGGACAGCTCACTGATCCTCAAGGGGCACATACTTTCTGTGCCCTTTCTCTTTTCCTTGTGTAGGCCCCTCAAGTCCCAGCTCAAAATACTATCTCTTCTCTGTATCCGTGCATTTACCACACTTTTTTATTCTATTTATTTCACATGTATGTTTCTCCCACTAGAATATAACCACTGGCCTTGACCATGTTTTACCCTTGTACCTTTAGCATAGCACTTGGGTTATAGTAACCCAAGTTACCCAAGTAACCCAAGTTGGGTTTAGGGAAATAATAAATCTGTAACTTTAGCTACATGTATGTACACACATACACACACAAACACACACATCAATCTGATGACATACCAACCACAAAAAGGTCAGATGTAGAAGGATGTACTCACAAAATTAAAATGGAGCTTAAGTACTGCCCAGCCTTATTATTGTCATTTTAAATTTCTGTAAGTTCTATATAAAAAAATATATATATATATAACTTGTAACTAGCCTAAGGAAAGTGAAAGCAAGTAACTTTGAGTCACATTATTTTTCTTACCAATACAGAAGTAAGGGTTTTACCACCTCGGTCTGAATATTTCTTAAGTGTTCTTCATTCCACTGAGATCCATCTAGTAGTTTAAATTTTGTTAAGATTTCTGCAGAAAGGTAGCAATCACCACTGCTCACCAGATAGCACTTTTTCATCTTCTCAAGATGTCTACAGTAAAACATATACACACATGGGCACAGTATTCAACCAGCCAGGTATTTTCACTTCTAAAATGCTTGAGACAAGGAATGAACTATCTCAAAACCAACACTCAATTACAGGGGTACCAGTGCGGAGATGAAGATATTTCTCACAGTTCGGGGAAGGAGAAGGGCATTTTTAGCAGGTTGAACCACCAGCCGTGCTGAGACAAGCTGTAAACCCCAGGACCCGTGAAGGTGACAGTGCCCGAGAAGAGATTCTGCAGATGTGACTAGGATTTGGGGGAGATTATCCTGGATTAGGCAGTTAGCCCTAACGTAATTGAAAAGTCCTTCTGAGAGGGAGGAAGGAAGGTCAGAGTCATGCAAACAAAAGGTGAGGACAGAAACAGATGTCAGAGAAAAGCGACGACTGTATGCTGTGGGCTTTGAAGATGGAGGAAGGGAGGAACCAAGGAAAGCCTGTGGTCTTCAGAAGCGGGAAAAGGCAAGGAAATGAATTCTCCCCTAGGGTCTTCAGGAGGAATGCTGCCCTGCATACCCGCTTTAGACGCCTAACCTCCTAACTGTAGGAGAATAAATTTGTGTTGCTTCGAGCCAACAAATTTGTGGTTATGTGTTACATAAACAATAGGAACTAATACAACATTGACCCTGAAGAACCTATGTCGTTGCTTGCATATAACTTCCCTGATATGTCTTGAGAAGTGCTAGTGGCCTTCCACCCAGGATCAGTCAGGTTGTGCTTCATTATCAACCGTTTGGTAACCCCTGCTCTTGTAACTATGTACAGCAATGATCTGAATGTCACGGAAACAACAGGAATTACCCAGTCACTAGTACATACTCAGTCAAACCCTAATGGGAATTGCAATCTACTGTAGCTGATCTTCACAGCAGATCAGGAAAACACAGTCAGGATAAAGATTTTTCTAAAGCAGGGTCCCCTTAGGGTTCTTAAGACTCACAGTAAAATCTAAAACATGTGGAGCAGCCAAACAAAGGCCTGCACCCCATCAGACCTCCAAGAGGCTGGTTATCTGGAGGATAACCAGTATGATATTTAGCAGATATCTCATTCAGATAGAAATTTTAAGTGGCATCCAACTAAAGATCTTCGAATTTGGTACCAAGCAGGCTGCTAGGAACAGCGGCCCTTACTTATGCTGCCACAAGGCATCTTTTACGTAAGGTATCTTATGCCAGTGTGGTATATAACTGATAATTTTTTCCATAAAAATATATCCCTGCATTGTAATAAAAATAAAACAGAATGATTAATTTGAAAGCAGGCTTAGAATCTATGGGAAGAAACTTAGGCAAACCCAAATAATTACTACTGTTAGTATTTGAAAGCTTTGAAATCGTACTAATAGTGAAATCAATATTATTATAATAACTGTTATTGTTCATTCCGCCAAAAGTACAAATTATGTTTTTTATATTTATTTCAGGCTTTCTGCCTGTCCTTAATAGAGCCAAACTAATAGTCCACAATTTGTTTTTAAAACTACTGAAAAATAAAAAATAGAAATACCTTTGATGTCTTCCAGCATCCTTGAGAACTTTTAACCTCTCAATATCCATCCATAGCCACCAATATCTCTCCCCTAATGTACCTTTTATAAATTCCTTAAATCTTTCAAACTCCTTTCTATTGTCAATGTGGTAAGTTTTGTAAGAAAAGCACCAATCAGCCCTGCCTTCTGATCCAATGCTCTCACTCTCTGAACTTGTTTCTTCTAACATCACTTCTGCCTTCTCCTTTGTGGGTTGAATTGCTTCACTTAACAGAACATTCTCGCCAGAAGGAAGCTCAGGATGCTCATCAACTACCACCTCTGTGACATTTTTGAAATTTATATAACCCGGGCAGTCTATAAATGACTCTCCAAGAATTTGATAAACTGCTGTTTTCAAAATAAAGGCTACGTAAGATCTTAAAAAGTCTTCACAGGTTGAGAAATGCACTATCAGGCTTTCACCAACATCCAGTTGCTTTTCAAGGTATTTTCTCAGAAGAGCTTGGGAAGGCGTGTCTTGTAGAGATACAGACCCGTCTTCTTCTTCTTCTTCTTCAACCTCAGAAATTAATCTAGGGGTTTTAGATGGGCGCCTTTTCATTCTGGGGTGAACTCCATCATCAAAGATAAAACTCTCTGCATTAAATTATAAAAGACTATTAGATCCGATATGAATACAGAATATTTTTTTTACTATTAACTAGATATTATAGAGCCAAGATGGCAAATGAGTTTATTATCACAGGTAGTGACTGCATGGACCAGGTCTTAAAGAGGAGTCTAAAGCCACATTTGGGACCCGGAGAGAAAAAACTTCCAACAGGGATTAGGCATGTCTTCCCCGGATGTGGAAGAGAATAAAAGGGGAAGATGACCTAAATATCTTGATATCCCTAATATAGAGGATCTTCAAAAAAGACATATAGCTGAGGGAGGGAAAGAGGGAGTGGGCAAGGGAAAGTGGTGGGGGGTAGGCAGAGACAAATGTATTTGAAAAAATACATTTTAAAAATATATATATATAAAATAAATAAATGTTAGAAAAGACATATACTTTAAAATTTAATATTTCAATATAAAAAGGCCAACTCTGTTAAAGAATTGGAATTTGTACATTAAACAATTGTACAGGCATAGCTCATTTATTGTTTTTTACAAATTGAAAGTTTGTGGCAACTGTGAGTGAAACAGGTCTACTGGCTCCATTTTTCTAACAGCATTTGCCCAATTCGTGTCTCTGTGTCACATTTTAGTAATTCTTGGAATATTTCAAACTTTTTTATTATTATTGTACTTGTTATGGTGACCTGTGATCAGTGATCTTTGATGTTACTAGGGCAAGAGCCTCCACCAGCAAAAACATTATGACTCACTGAAGACTCTGATGATGGTTAGCATTTTTTAGCACTAAGGTATTATTAAGTTAAGCTATATCATTGTTATTTTAATATAATGCTATTGCACCCTTAATAGACTACAGTATAGTGTAGTCTATTATATAACTTTTATATGCACTGGGAAACCAAAAAAACATGTGACTCATTGTAACATTCACTTTATTGTGCTTGTCTAGAACCCAACCTACAATATCGCTGAGGTATGCCTGTCTGTGCTTTAATATCTCATGTTGTATGATAGATTAATATTAGCTACCATAGATGATGAGACCATAGATAAACATATCAAAACTGGGAGTCACATTAGCAATTTTTAAAAATTCACTATTTCATCAGAAAGATTCAATTACTGTCATACTTAAAAACTATCATTATAATTACAAAATGGCATAAACTATTTATAAAAGCTAACACATACAAATGGGTTGTTCTTATACTTTTTCTGAAGATAGAGTCTTCAGTGCCTATACTCTTTCTTTCAAAAATCGGTGAAATGTCCAAAGCCAGCGCTTTCGCACAGCCCATCTGCCCCTCACAATGCCACGGATCGGGAGAGCAGCTGCCACCTGCGGCCCACGCACCTCAGTGGCCACGTTCTCAGTGATAGATTTCAAGTCTCAATCAACTGGAAATGTTTCACTGAACTGGAAATTTTTATTGAAAGTAAATATAACAAATGTCCCCAATATGGAGAGATTAGCCTTTTGCAAACCCATGAAAAGGTACTGGGTACACACCCAATCCACAGAACTGGAGGTAGGGCGCAGGCTGGCATCTCCCCTTACCCTCTGCCGCTTCCCTTTCTCTTCCTGTTTACGATCCTCCCTATCTTTACTCTCCAATTTTCTACTCTACTACTTCAGGGAAACTGTAAGAAATCTATAAACTATAAGAAATCTACTAGGGAGATTATTTCCTCTTCACCTACATTTAGATGCAAGTCTAGTGAATCCAGATTTACAATCCCCAGAGGCTGCTTATCCTTTCCAAAGGAATTAGGTAAGAACTGTTAGTAAACTGCTGAGTTCCTCTCCTGGGTCACATAGCTAGATTTTTTTTTTCTTCAGCAATATCATAATATTTTAATAACTCCCATTTTTGGACAGTTCCTTCTATTTTTATGAAAAGTTTATATCATCCACAAAAGTTCCCCGCAGTAGAAACTTATCTGCTTTGTAAGGTGAAAAACAGTCTGAATGTAAAAATAGAAGGAAAACTCAGGTTCCATGAATGACTATTTACTGTTAAGAGGAGATAAAGGTTGCACCCACTTTATTTCAAAAGCTTAATAACAAGAATTTGTAAATTGTGATAGGAGATCAAGACAAGACAAACATTTATTGATGTCCTATTAGGTACCAAGCACTAGGCCAGACATTTTCTATACATTTAGCATGTATCATTATTCTAAATTTACAAATGAGAAAAGCAAAAGCTCCCAGAAGCAGAATAACTTACGAAAGTCACACAGCCAATAAGTATTGGAGTTGAGTTCTAAACTCATCCTCTTTTCACTATACCAAGTTGCTGCTTGAAAAACAGTAGAAAATGAAGTTGAGGGAAGAGGGGAGAGATCATTTTTTCTTCCCAACCACGAAGTGTTGTACTGTAAGATTAGAACTACAACAGAAGACTTAAAAAGGAGTTAGTTCTGAAGTCCTTCTCGTTCTTCTCTGCTTACCAGAATCAGATGAAGTAACTGGTGCTTCAATTCCACTGTGGAGTACACCAGATGGTAATGAAAAGGTTGATACTGTTTGCTGACTCTGTTTTGCTAATGCATACCAATCTTTTATTTGAGTATGCGAGGCCTAGGAAGAAAGAAGCACATGTGTTTAACATAGCCGTATTCTTCCAATCACAAACGTGGACAAATCATTATATTATTCAATTTGCATATACAATATGTTAGAAAAAAATTATGCCATGAAGCAAAGAAGGTTGTACACAGAAACATTCACTAGCTAAGAGAATAATAGGAAAGAAATTTCAATTCAGATGATTTTTACATTAGAGGTTCCAAAGGGAAAAAACGAGCCCAATACCCTCCCAATCTCCATTCTTCCACCAAATGCATGCACCCTCACATGCCAGATTCACTACAGATTCATGCCATCTAACTTTAACTTGGCAGTCACCATGAACTCATCAGTCCTTGGATGCATCTTTTGCCAACTGCTTCCATTTACATCCTTCCCAATTACTTCATGTCTTTCATTACATCTGACCTGGCCCACTGTTTTTAACTCCTCCCCAACATTACACTGACTCCTCTCAGTAGCATAGAAAACATCTCTAGGCTCAAGCGCCACTTTGCCTTAGATTCAATTTTCACAGCTTTGTTTGGAGTGGAGGCTTCCTGAAGGATGATCCCTGACTCCACCTGCTCCTGGCTGTAGCCTTCAGTATTTCCTTTGCTTGGTGACCCTTAAGCCAGTTGACCCAAAACCCAAGCTAAGTGAGCCGGATGTTGGACTGGACTGGACTGGACTGGACTTTAATATGGCATAGGATCTCTGGGCAGTGGCTTTTATTCTGGCCCTACTGAAGACAAGATTGGATTTTTGCATGGCAGAACAGACAGATAGGACATTAATCATCAATAAAGTTTACCATGGAGCCCCACCCTCCCATGTGGGCCTCAGGAAATTCTTTTCCTTGCAACCCCACAAAAACTCAACTCCCACTGATAGTAATATGAACTTTTTGTGGCAGACGGGAAGAAGTCTAGCAAAACTTGTTTGCTGAACCTCCTCCTGTGTCCCATCATTCCTGGGTGGCCCAGCAAGAATTTGTTTATCACCTTTGCTCTTTCTACCGGTGAACTGCCTGCTTTCCCTTGGAAATCCCAGGCCCCTGCCCGCCTTCTCCTTAGACCAGGATGGCACATAACCCTCAACGGCCCAGTGCCCTTCAGATCTCTTGTCTAATGGCACCCCCACATGTGCCTTGCAATCAGTTTTGGACATTTTCTCTTGTTAATCTGGCTCATGTTAATTTGATTATTAGCCCAGCCAGAAGAACTTAGAAAAGTGAAAAGAAAATTATTTTTTATATCTCTACACTGAGAGACTCTAATTTCCTTTTATTCTCTCTTTTTCTTGTTTAAAACCAAGTTGTTTACTATTACTTTTATGTCCTATCGACGTATATTTATTTAGTGACTTCTCTATTCCAAGCAGTATCTTAACAACTGACAGGAGACCAAAATAATTAGGGAATTTTCAAGGAATTGAGAGAGACCAATATACAAGAGTGCTTGTTATTTCAGCTGCAAAAAGAAAGAGACTAGAAAATAGAGGAGGAAGAAATGGTCAGACATATAAGCAATTAATTATTCCACTGTATACTCTTAAGAGATGGGTCACTTATTCATATTTATATGGTATAAATGAAGATTTAAAGAAATGTTTCCAACTATCATAAAGATAAATCCCTATTTATAGTCATGGTTTAAATGACTTAAGGATCCAAAGAACAGAACCTTAAAACTTAAAAAGCTACACCCATACATAAGAATAAACTAAAAATGGATTAAAGACTTATAATAAATCTTAGACGCAACCATAAAAATCCTAGAAGAAAACACAGGCAGTAAAATCTTGGACATTTTTCATAGCAATATTTTTTTTCTGAACTTGGGAAAGGGAAACAGAAAGTAAACAAATGGGACTACATCAAACTAAAAAGCATTTGTACAGCAAGGAAACCATCAACAAAATGAAAAGACAACACACTGAATAGGAAAACATATTCACCAATAATACATCTGATAATGATTAATACCCAAAATTTACAAAGGGCTTATACATAAAACTCAACACCAAAAACAATTCAATTTTGAAAATGATAGTTTATTCAATAAACAGTGTTGGAAAAATTGGATCATAGATGCAGAAAAATGAAACTAGACCACTTTCTTACACCACACACAAGAATAAACTCAAAATGGATCAAAGACTTCCATGTTAGACCTGAAACAATAAAAATCATAAAAGAAAACATAGGCAGCAAAATCTCAGACACTGCTTAGAACAATTTTTTATTGGCTATATCTCCCCAGGCAAAGAAACAAAAATAAATAAATAAATGAATGGGACTACATCAAACTAAAAAATTTTTGCACAGTGAAGGAAATCATCAACAAAATAAAAAGACAACCCACAGAATGGGAGAACATATTCACCAATACATCTGATAATGGGTTAATATCCAAAACTTATAAAGAACTTACAAAACTCAACTCCAAAAAAACAAACAACCCAATTAAGAAACAGGCAAAGGACCTGAATAGACACTTCTCCCAAGAAGACATACAGATTACCCATAGATATATGAAAAGATGCTCAATGTCACTAATCATCAGAGAAGTGCAAATTAAAACCACAACGAGATATCCTCTCACACCTGTCAGAAAGGCTATCATCAATAAATCAACAAACAACAAGTGTTGGCAAGGATGTGGAGAAAGGGGAACACTTTTGCACTGTTGGTGGGAGTGCAGACTGGTGCAGACACGGTGGAAAGCAGAATGGAGATACCTCAAAAAATTAAAAATGGATCTGCCTTTTGACCCAGAAATCCTACTCCTGGGAATATATCTGAAGGAACCCAAAACACTAATTCAAAAGAATATAAGCACCCCTATGTTCATTCAGCATTATTTACAATTGCCAAGACATGGAAGAAGCCCAAGTGTCCATCAGTAGATGAGTGGTTAAAACAACTACAGGACATTGACACAATGAAATACTATTCAGCCATGAAAAAGAAGAAAATTTTACCCTTTGCGATAGTATGGACCTGGAAAACATTTTTCTAAGTGAAATAAGTCAGTCAGAAAAAGACAAATACTGTATGATTTCACTCCTATGTGGAATCTAATGAACAAACTGAAGTAACAAGGAAAATGGGGACGACTCATAGATGGAGAGCAGGATGACAACCAGGGAGGGGGAGGTTAAAAGGTAGAGAGATGGAGCAAAAAGGAAAAAGGACTCATGGACATGGCCAACGGTGTGGTGACTGCTGGGGGAAGAGGGATAAAATGGGACTAAATGGTGATGGGAAAAAAACACAATAGATTAAATTTTAAGAGGATAATATACAGTTTAAGTATTAATCAAGTAGAAATGAATTTTTATTACAGAAAACAGCAAAGTATAGCTTGGATTTTACTGTCTTATATTTTATTAAATTTACATGTAAGGAATCAGAACTTAATCCCCCAGATGGATTCTTTCCTTTGCATGTGTGTTGACCTCTACTATTAGTAGATATTTTATGACATTCCTGACATTTCTATAATATCATGGTTTTAGTACATCCCTAAGCATTACTTAGTGAAAATAATGGAACTGGCATAATTTTAAACATTTTTAACAAATGTCACTTATAGAAATGCCTAACTACAAAATTAAATAGAAGCTACATATGAAAACAAATGTTCAAGTAAGATTGGATAAGTTTACCCTTTCCAACAGAGATGGCAAATAGTTTTCCCTTTGTATGACATCTTTGATCAATAAGAAGTGCCTCCTTAAAGTGCTGTCTTGAAAAAAATTTGGAGTCAAGTCCTATAACTCAGTAAGAAAATTGCCATGATTGATTAGCAATGTCCGCCATGAATAGAAACTAGGAGAATATCAACACATGGGCCACATATTGGACATTTCTGCTTTTGTACAGAATTGTATACTGGATGTGTGTTTCCAGAGAGAAGATCCGATAATTAGAGACCAAAGATCAAAGAAGAGTTTTTACTACACTCTGATTCTTCAAAAGGACATTTGATTCTAAGTATGTTAAATCTCATACACCCAACATTTCTTTAATCAAGGAGTACAAATGTACCTACTAACAGCTAAGCAATAATTAACATTTAAGCATTTTCCTATTGAGAAATAATCATAACAACATAGAGAAGAAGACCTAATTTATCACCTTTTTGAACAAGAGTTATGAAATCTGGGGGTGGAGGGGCAGGGAGTTGTAAAGGGCTGAGCCCACACCCACTTGTGGAGGTTAAAAATGGGGAGGGATATCTTGGCTGCAGAGGTCCTTCCTGAGGAGTGAGGGATCCTACCCCACCCCAGGCTCTCCAGCCCAGGGTTCCAGTACCAGGGAGAAAAGTGCCATTAACTACTGGCTGCAAAAACCAGCAGAGACTGTGACTGAGTGAGAGAAAGGCTACTGGGGTTCCTGGCATTCCTCTTAAAGGGCCACACATACACTTACTTGAACTCATTTGCTCTGAGCTCAGCTGTTGGGGCAGCAATTCAAAAGGTGCTGGGGACATACTGGGAAGAGCTAAATAGTTTGACTTCAGGTCAAGAACTAGAGGAGCAGCTTTACCCCAGATAAAAGTGCTAGCAGTGGCTATTGTCCCTTTGCCAAGCCCTCCATTGCAGGCGGAGGTGGGCCACATATCTGAGTCTCCATCAGCCTGGCTAACACTGATCACCCTGGCCTGGTGATTCCCTGAGACCCTGCCTCATCCAATTTGTGGGACCACCCAAGCCACTTCCAGTGGCTTTTCCAGATAAACAGCCTTTCTTGGTTCATGCTGTGAACTTTCCTAGATTCTCTCAAAGGTTCACAAACCCCAAATAAGCAGCATCTGGCCTCAGCATGCCCTGTACCTCTTGCTGAGCAGCCCCAAACTCAACAAGAGCAGCAGCCAGACTTAGTTTGCACCTTAGCCTATCCTGGCACTTCCAGGCCCAGCTATAATGGCAACCATTTGCAGATCACTTTGTAGCTCATGCCAGGTTGCCCCAGGCAGGGCACAGGCAGCTGACTTTAGCCTGCATGAGAGCCCCTATAAAGAGGCCCCAGAACCAACACACCCAGTGGCCAGCTTCAGATCACACCAGAGCACCACCCAACCACCTCCACAAACAAACAATCCAAAGGGAAGACTCAGCAGCCCCCAGAGCCCCGTTAAAGCAAATACTACTTTGTAGGGTTAGCTCCTCACAGCAGCTCCTCCACTATATACACAGTCAGTCCTCACAACCAATCAATGTAAGAATCAATCCCTTCCACTGACATGCCAACAGCAATCAAGGCTCAACTACAACAGGAGAATACACACAACCCACACATGGGACACAGCTGCAGTGCCCAGCTCAGGTAACCAGGGATACTGTGCCACTGGGCCCCACAGGACAGCTACTATATAAGACCACTCTACCAAGACCGGGAGACATAGCAGCTCTACCTAATACACAGAAACAAACACAGGGGGGCAGTCAAAATGAAGAAACAAAGAAATATGTCCTAAGTGAAAGAACAGAACAAAACTCCTGAAAAAGAACTAAATTAAATGGAGACAGCAATACACCAGATGCAGAGTTCAAAACACTAGTTATAAAGATGCTCAATGATCTCAGAACTTAACACAGAAATTGAAACATAAAAATGGAGATTGAAAATATGAAAAAGGACCACTAACTGAAATGATGAATAATTTACAGGGAAACAGTACAGTAAATGAAGCTGAGAATCAAATCAGTGATGTGGAATATAAGGAGACAAAAAAATGCCCCAATCAGAAGAGAAAAAAGAATACAAAAAATTGAGGATAGCGTAAGGAGCCTCTGGAACAACTTCAAGCATACCAACGTTTTTGCATCAAGGTGGTGCCAGAAGGAGAAGAGAGAGAGAAGCTGAAAACCTGTTTGAAAAATGACAAAAATCTTCCCTAATTTGGTGAAGGAAATAGACATACAAGTCCAGGAAGTGCAGAGAATCCCAAAGAAGATGTACTCAAAGAAGCCCACACCAAGACATATCATAATTAAAATACAAAAGGTTAAAGACAGACTATTAAAAGCAACAAGGGAAAAGCAGTTAGTTACCTAAAAGGGCACTCCCGTAAGTCTGTCAGCTAATTTCTCAACAGAAACTTCGCAGGCCAGAAGGGATTGGCAAGAAGTATTCAAAGTCATGAAAAGCAAGGTCTTACAACCAACATTATTCTACCCAGAAAAGCTATCATTTAGAATAAAAGAACATATAAAGAGCTTCCCAGACAAGAAAAAGCTAAAGGAGCTCAGCACCACCAACCCAGTATTATATTAAATGTTAAAGGATCTTCCTTAAGAAAAAGAAGAAAAAAATAAAAAAATATGAACAATAAAATGGAAAAAATACCTATCTATCAAGAACTGAATCTAAAATATCTGGAGAGCATTATTCTCTAGGTGAACTAAGCCAGCCAGAGAAAGACAACTACCACATGATCTCACTCATATGTGGAATCTAATGAACAAAATGAACTAACAAGCAAAACAGTGACAGTCTCATAGATGGAGAGCAGGCTGACAGCTGTTGGTGGGGGTGGGTTGGGGTGGAGGGATTGAGCAAAAAAGAAAATGGAGAGAAAAAACGTATGGACACAAACAACAGCGTGGTCACGCCGGGGGTGGGGGAGTGAAAGGAGGTGGAAGAGTGGACAGTGGGGTTAAATGGTAATGAACCAAGGCCTTAGGTGCACAATTCTACAACACATCATCTGTATATATTATGTGGGGTGGTGAACACATAATATATACAGATGTGTTGTAGAACTGTGCACCTAAAACTTGTATAATTTTGTTAACCACTGTCACCCCAATAAATTCAATAAAAAGGAAAAGGAAAAAAGATGAATAATAAAATGGCAATAACCACAAATTTATGAACAATTACTTTAAATGTAAACAAATTAAATGCTCCAATCAAAAGACATAATGTGACTGAATGAATGGATAAGAAAATAAGACCCTTACATATGCTTCCTACAAAAGACTCAGTACAGACTGAAAGACACACACAGACTGGAAGTGAACAGGAAAAGATATTTCATGAAAATGGAAACAAATAAATAAAAAGCTGGGTACCAATACTTATATTAGACAAAATAGTCTTTCAAACAATGACTATAATAAAAGACAAAGAAATTTCCAGTAATTCCACTTCTGGGTATTTATCTGAAAAAATCCAAAACACTAACTCAAAAGGACATATGCATCAGTATGTTCACTGCAGTATTATTTACTATAGCCAAGATATATAAGCAATGTAAGTGTCCATCAATAGATGAAGAGATAAAGAAGTGGTACGTATATACCATGGAATGTACCTCAGCCATACAAAAAGGATAAAATCTTGCCGTCTGCAATAATGTGGATGGACCTAGAGGGTATTATGCTAAGTGAAATGTCAGATGGAGAAAAACAAATACCATATGATTTCACTTATATGTGGAATCTAGAAAACAAAATAAATGAACAAACAAAACGAAAACTAGATACAGAGAACATTTTGATGGTTGCCAGATGAGAGGGGGGTTGGAAGATGGCTGAAAAAGGTGAAAGGATTAAGAAGCACAAATTGGTAGGTACTGAATAGTCATGGAGATGTAAATATAGTATAGAAAATACAGTCAATAATATTGTAATAACTATGTATGGTGTCAGATGGGCACTAGATTTATCAGGGTGATCACTTCATAAGTTATATAAATGTCCACTCACTATGTTACACACCTGAAACTAATATAATATTCTATGTCAACTGTAACTGAAAAATAATAAGTAAACAAAAAATGCATGAGCACAAAAACGTAAATACCTTTTTAAAAAGTTATTAAACCGGGGTCCTTAAGACTTTGATTAAATTTAATTTAGCTTTGAATCCTAGCTCTAGAAATCCTATGGCTCTCTTTCTCTACAAGTTTCATAGGCCTACCCTCTCTCCTGGATAAGGAGCCATCCCCAAGGCAGCAGAAGACAATAGCCCCAGACCTACCGGTCACAATGTCCGGACATCTGGCAGGCTAAAGATAACATTGTGACCTAAGTTATGTTTCAGCTCCTGAGCCCTAAGGTGGGAAGACCCCTCCCCCCACCCCCTCCCCCGCCTTTCCATGAGACCAGACAGAGGGATGCCGGAGCAGACCTTAGACCTGTCCTCAAGGCCTGAAGAAATAGTTTATCACCCTTACCTTACCTTGAACCAATCAGCTCCCAGCACAGCCCCTGACCCCCAAACCCCCAGTATGTGACCTTGCCCTGTATTATCCATAACCCCCACGCCGTATCACGGAGTTGGATCTTTCCAGACATGAGCCTGCCCGTACTCCAGACTGACCAATTTTCTAATAAACCCTATTTCTATACTGAAAATGCCTGTTTGTATATTATTTTCGGGCTGGTGTGAGCAGGCAGACGGACTCAAATATTGGTTGAGTCTCAAATATCCATCTCCAGTAATAGTTGTAGAATCCAATTAATAAAAATTTGCATTGAACAATAAAATCATGGATATAATTCAAGTTACCCAGGCTTCCCAGGTGACACTAAGCATGTTCTTTAATCTTGTATTTGTTCCTTCAAACATGTGAGGATCATAATTTTAATTACACTTCAGGTGAAAGAGTGCAGAGCAAGTGAGTCAGTATAAATTCACAAGAATTTTTGCTAAATCTGCTTTCTGAAGTATTTGAAATAATTTTCCCTATTCAGGTGGTACAAATGAAATTCATGTTCCTAAAATAAGAAGTTTCACTGAAGTGCCAAGTCACAAAGAAACATTCATAGGTTTACCTTGCCAAGAGAAATGTAGAACTTTTTCATAATGATAACATTGTCATCTTCAGTGGGAGGAGGTGGTGGAGTGGCTGATTTTCTCTGGACCCAGGGAGAAATATCTGTATCTAGAGTGACATTCATGCCTGATCTACTCCAACTCACTTGTGACACCAATTTGGCTAACCTGCATTTTAGAAAGCATACAAATTTGAAACAAGTTTCAAGTTTAGTAGAATTTAGGGGAAAAAAACACTAAAATTTTATTTTATGTATTCAAGCCAATCTCCCTCCCTAACTCTGCAAGATGAGTCCCTTTGGATCTGCTAAAATTAATGGCTTATTCATAGAACTGTTAATTAATTAATTCTTATTCTAATTTATTTTATTTAAAAATGATTGTTATAAGCAAAGGTCAAATTTTAGTAAAACTTCAGAATGTTTTGGTACTTACACTTTAAGAGTCAGGGCACATAGAAGAAAAACTTGGTTCTGTACCATGACATTCTGCCTTTTTCATGACACACTTATTTTCATTTTTTAATACCCTGCACACAAATGCCATTATCACGTAATACGTAGATAATTTTTAAAATAGAATGATTAAAGAAACACAACTGTCATACATTTATTAGATACTGTTTCTGTGAAATCTCTTAGTAAAAGTTACGTGACTTTTGTAACCAATGCGGTATCATTCTTATGCTACAGCAAGTAGGATCTACACTCCAATGGATTTAAATAAACTTTATTAAGAAAGGACAAAAAATAATTTGGGTAAAAAAATAGGCATTAAAAAAAACATTCATGTTGATGGAACTACAATACCTGTATTCAAAATAGCAATCACTTTCCAGAAATGCTGGCAGTCTTTCTTTTTTGATCCACTGAATACCCTCTTCACGACTGAGACACTATTAGAGGACAAGTGAGAGGAAAAGAGCGTCAAGGAAAAATCGCCTTTTGGGACATTTAGTGATTAGGTGATTAGGGTCTAATCACTAGAACAATAGTGACCTCCAACTCTGACTGCCTCTACCTTCTGTTTGCATAAGAGCAAGAACCTGAGTCCCAAATCTGAAGCCACTTCTTGCCTTCTAGAGCTTCTTTAATTCTCTCAACAACCCTGCAACAGCTACATCTCCATTTTACAGACTGGCACACGGAATCCAGCAAAGTGGAGTAACTACTGAAGGAGAAGGAATGAGATCGAAGTCAGTTAATCTCAGTATTTTCTTAGTTATAAAATGGGTTACAATAATCACAATCGGAAAAAGTTAACCAGAAAACTTGGTAAGGCCAAGTGTGGTCACTGAAGTCCCCTTGTCCTTCCAATTTTAGAAAATTTTGTTAAATATTGACCTCCCCGAGCACTATCCTGGAGATGCAAAGGTAAATAGGAAAGATAAGACCCTGTGTCCTTCAGAAGTTTACAGATAATTCAATCGGTAATAACAGTCCAGTGCTATCAGGGCCAGAAGTTCAGGCCTCTGTGGGAGGTCACGTGGGCACTAAAGCAAAGGTTTCCCTCCAAACATGCCACTCACTCTTTGACCTGAAGCCTGATTACTAGGTTGAAGAGGAGGGGAGCAGGAGAGGAAACAGAGGTAAATTTATTATATTCTAGATCACAGCCTGAGATTTGAGATATGGGGGGAGGAAGGTTGAAGAAGTAGGCAGGGGCCTGATTATGACTAGTCTTTTTTTTTTTTTTTTTGTCAAGTTCCTTATTTCTTTTTTAAACGTTATTCTTATTGTTTATACTATTATGGATGTTCCCATTTTGCCCCGGGCTGCCCTTCCCGACCCAGCCCTCACAGCCCCGGCCCTCAGGCCATCACCACGCCGTCGTCTGTGTCTCTGGGTTGTGCATCGATGTTCTTTAGCGAATTCCTTCACCTTCTTTCATCCAGTTTCCTCTCCCCGCTCCCTTCAGACAGCTGCCAGTCTGTTCCATGTGTCCATGACTCTGTTTCTATTTTATTCAGCAGTTTATTTTGTTCTTTAGATTCCACATATAAGTGAGATCATATGGTATTTGTCTTTTACTGACTGGCTTATTTCACTTAGCATTTGTGGTGACAGTTTGTGAAAATACAAGTTATTGATGTGGTTTATTTTATTTTTATTTTTATTGAATTTATTGGGGTGACATTGGTTAGTAAAATTATATAGGTTTCAGGTGTACGATTTTATAATACATCATCTGTGTACTATATTGTGTGTTCACCACCCGAAGTCAACTCTCCTTCTGATGTGGTTTGATTAAAATCTACCATCATATTCTCTATTTGTTCCATATACTCTTTGTTCCTTTTCCCTTCATTTTCTGTTTTTGGTTTGACTATTCCTTTTTTAACTCTACGATTATTACATTAGTTATGCTCCTTTCAAAAATGTTTAAATTGTTGCCCTACTGTTTACAATATATTTAGTAAATATCTTCAAAACAATTTCAAATATATCAAATAAGGTCACCTAGTAGATTTTTTTTTTTAGAAACTTGTGTCAAAACACATAATTAAAGAAGCTCCTTGTATACAAATATTTAATTATTATATTGTATACCTGAAACTAATATAATGTTACATCAATTTTACCTCAGTTAAAAAGAAGCTCCTAAATAGCTTTTATTATTTAAAAAAAAAAGGTTATAAAGACCTGCATGAACTAAAGAAATTTCTATTTACTGAAGAAAGGGAAAAAAATCAATAAACCTCATTGTCACACCTAGTAAAAAAGTTTTTGAACTAACAACTTGCATAGTGTTATATAGTTCAGAATCTATTTCCTTGTTTTAACTTCAAGACAGTGCTGTAACACAGTTATTATTATTACTACTTTTATTTTTGGTATTTAATTGGATGGAAATAAACAAGAAAGAAAAATATGTAAAAGAAGAATTGAACTTTCAGGCTGGAAAAGAGCTATGTCTCAAGCATTAGACATATGTTAGCCTACCTCTATCGGACATTTTAAATTAATGAAAACAGCACTGTTAAACATTCAGTGTTATTTTCATTTGATCCACAAAACAAACCTAAGTAAGTAGTAGGTAGTACAGACATCATCTGACATCATTTGATGATGAAAATGAGGTTCATCAAAATGATTTGTTCAAGAACACACAGTAAGTTGAGAGTCAATCTGAGAACCCATATTTTTGTTTTTTGTTTTTGTTTTTTTTCCCTCATGCTAACAAGACAAAATCCAGAGCTGAGAGTAAAATTTAAAGCCAAGGATGCCAGAGCCACACAATGTAACTCGAAGGTTAGCAATCTCAATTCTTCCCAACTGCTTATAAGATAGAACCCAAATGAAATAAATTCACTGTATACCCCACATTTTGTAGAATGCATCTAAATATGAAGGATACACACTACCCTAAGATTCTAAATATTCAAAGTAAATTTCATGAACCTCCTTATGTTGATAATCAAATATCAACAAAACTGGGAGACTAAATTGGCCACTTAATATGAATAAGATGATATAACAGCTAACAAATATTATGTGATAAGTACAATAAAATTTAACAAATACAGTTAAACCTCAGAAAGGGAAGCCCAAGGAAACTCATGTTAATCTCAACTATGTTTGAGTTCATAGCAAGATATGAACTCAAATATACTTTCTTACCATAATATTGTAGTTGACATTAATAGTCTCATCTTCATAGGGGGCATTCATTTGAACAGGTTTAACATGATTCTTTCCTTTCCTTACAACATCATAGATGGGATTTCGAGGTTGCTGGTTTTGCAGAATTTTTTTCAGTTGCTTTTCCAGAAGTTGTGGAGCATTGTTAACTACTTCAAAAACTCCATAATCCACATTAAATCTAATTGCCTCTGAAAAGGTCTGCAAAATAAGTTGTGGAAATATGTCTTTAAATTGTTAAAAACCAGAAACTCACTGTCTCCAAGGCTTGATACTTACACACACACACACACACACACACACACACACACACACACACACACACACAGAGTTTTGTTTTTAATTATTACCTCTTCCCTTTAGGAGCTTGGAAATCTACTCACTAAGGTAAAGGAACCCACTGAATCCTGCTTTCCCAATGTACTTACAAGTCAGGGATATTAGGATATATTATAGCAGAAATTCCCTTTGCATAAACATCTTACCTCTGTGCTTCTTTGAAACTGGAAAGAAATGCACACCTAACCTCTATGAAGCAATGTTATTCTCTTAGAAAGGGGTGAGTTACTAGGGAAGAATGAGTAAAAGAAGAAGAAATAACACTCCTGTTATCTCTTTCATCCCAGGAGCCATGAAAGCTAAAGTCTCCCTTGTCCAAAAGGAGAAAGTTAAGTATAATATGGTCTTCATTTAACACTATTTCAACACCATTCCTTTCACTCTGACCAAGAAAAGAAAAAAAAAGAAAGATAACATTTCTGAGCCTTTCTCAGTAATTACTAAATCCTGCTGACTTTTATTTATTTTTTTATTGAATTCATTGGGTTGACAATTGTTAATAAAGTTATACAGGTTTTAGGTGTACAATTCTATAATACATCATTTGTTTATTGTACTGTGTGTTTACGATCCCAAGTCAAGTCTCCTCCCATCACCATTTATTCCCCCCTTTACCTTCTTCTACCTGTCCCCATCCCCTCTCTCTTTCTGGCAATCATCATACTGTTGTCTGTGTCCATGAGTCTTTCTCTTTTTCCTCTCTGCTTACTGCCAACTTTTCTTTAATGTCAGTCAGTTAATATACAACAGTCAGGAGTCTTGAGTTCGCCAGCTTGCCAATAAGTAGCACTGTGACTCTGGGTAAATCATTGAATACGTCTGGGGCCTCCGCTTCCATAACAAGTAAAGGGTAAATTGGCTGTGTCTTTTCCCATTTTGCCCTCCAAACCTAGAACCGGGTCCTTTTTCCGGAACATTAATTTATTTCAGGATACCTTCAGTGAATTGCCTACTCATGTAGGTTAATTTACATATTTTTAGCCAGATGGTAAAAGACCTTAAACCCTTCCCCTTGGATTGATCATTATCCAAGGGAAAATATCAATTGTTTCAAGTTTTACTAAGAGATTGCTAGGTATACTATATGTAGTTAAAATTTAAGGAATGGTAGGATATTGTAAAACTAGAGTTAGAAATATGTGTTTATGTATAAATACCCATATATTGTATGTATATATATTTTATTTTTTTTACGTATTCATTTTAATGTCAGATGATATTACATCCCTGAAGTCTCATTGTCTTTGCTTCTACAGAACTTAGAGTCCACGGCCAATAGAGTTCAATATGAATATCAGGCCACAGTTCAAAAGGCCTCAAGGCTAAGATTTCCCCTCAAAAGACAAGTGTAGCTCAATGGATAAATAACAATACTTAGCAGTACATTGTGGATAAGGTTTTTTCAATAAATATATTTCATTGGCTGCCCAATGCATCTGTCTTTCAAACATGAGATTCAAACAGATGCTACTTACTTAAAAGTCAAATATTCTTTATCTCTGAATTATACTATCACTAGACTAAAACAGATAAATGAGTCTGTTGATCTCAGAGGCCCAATTCATCTGGCTGAAGAAAGAAACTGAATTAAACTTGGTAGAGAGGGGTCATCGAATATTAACTGGGGTGGGGGAAATGGAGCAGTATAATGGGAAGACCATCTGAAAAAGATTTCTTCTAGTTTTGAGTATCCATGGAACAAAAAAAAAAAAAGCTTGATCTCTTTATTTATTGTTTTTCTTTCTTTTTTTTTCTGCCTCCTACCCTCACACCCGTAGCCAGAGGAGCACAAAGCTGTGATAATCCAAAGCAAAGAATGCCAATTAGTTCTACTGACAAATAAAATATTTCCTGTTAATTGAGTAAAAAAATGCTCAAGTTAAAAAAAGAAGGACAGTGACACTCTGACACCCTCCGTAGACAATTTTAGGATCAAGGCTATAGAAACAAGTCTGTCTGGTCCCAAAGAAAGCACGTTTCCCCTTTATTGTGTTGCCTCACATATGATAAAACTAGCATGTACTGACCACCTTCTCTATGCCAGGCACTGTGCTAAATATAATAACCCCATGAAGTAAGTGGAACTGGGACTCAAAAACCAAGGTGTTTTGATCCCAAAGCCTATGTTCTGGTTTTACCAGTAAAGGCACAGAGGCATGAAGCTGCATGATGTACATGGATAATTTCAAGCAGTTCAAGGCAATTGGAATAGAATTTGAATAGTTTATGGGTGGCAGAGTTTAAGAAACAGAGAGGAAAGACTGGACATAGATGAGCAAAATAGGACCAGATCGTGGAAGGCTTTGCACATCATTTAAGGCGTAGTCACATAATCCGATTTGTGTTTTAGGAACAGTCTCCTAGTAGCAGTCTGGAGTTTTGCTTGCCAGCTCCTGAGCTGGTGAGAGAGGCTGCTCACACGCCCCAGGCTGAGCTGTCACCATGTTCTGGGGAGGCTGGCTGTGTCCTCAGAGCTACTGCTACCATGACCAGGTTTAGTGTGGTAGCGATTAACTCTTGGATGGGTTGTTGTCCCCATCACACAGTGGGGCCAGGGCAGGTTTTAAGTCAGACAGTTAGCAATTACTTTTATTTGCAACTTACAAAGCAAAACTGCAACTTCCAGTCAAGATGGCGGCATACGTAAACATAGCTTGCCTCGGGAGTGAGGAGTCCCAGGCTCACACCAGGCCCCCCAGCTCAGGGTTCTGGTGCCAAAAGATAAGTCCCTATAATTTTTGGCTGCAAAAAACAGTGGGTATTGAATTGGTGGAAGAAACTTCTGGAGTTCCAAGCAGTGCCTCTTAAAGAACCCACACATAGACTTACTCAGACTCACTCCCTCTGAGCTCCAGCACCAGGATAGCAGCTGGAAAGGCACCAGGGGCATCAGGGGAGTAATTGAAGTGTCTGGCATAAAGGTGAGAGCTGGGGAACAGCTTTCTCCCAGGGAGAAGGAGGGGCAGGGACAGAGGACATCATCCCTTTTCTGAACCCTACTCTCACAGAAACACAGAGCTGGCAGGTGGGTGCCATATCTGAGACTCCATCAACGGGGCTAACACTGTTTGCCCTGCCCTGGACATCCCCTGAGGCTCCATTCCATACACCTTACACCTGTTAACAGTGGCTTTTCCATGTGAATGCCTGGGCTTGGCTCAGGCTTCACAACTTCTTAAATCTTTTCAAACAAGCAGCAGCCCTGCCTCAGTGAGCCTCCAGCCCTCTCGCCTCTTGCTAAGTGGCCCCAGGTCCGACATTAGCAGCAGCCAGCCTAGGCTCACAGTTTGGCTTTGCCTGGGAAACTCCAAGCCCAGCACAAGGAGCAGCCATGTCAGATTGCTCAGGCAGGGTGGCCCTGGGCAAAACACAGGTAGGAGCTGACCTTGGCCTCAGGGGAGGGAAAATTTTCCACAAAGATCATAGTAATCCTAGAATATTATATCTAGTTTAGTTATTGTACTTTAAAAGAGATTTGGCTAAAGTAGAATCCGTCTAGAAAAGGATAAGCAGAATGATTAAATGGAAGTAATGTTGGGCAAATTACCTCACCTTCCTCAGATTTATTATATAAAGGCGTTTTAACAAAATAATATCAAGTTGTCTTTAATGTTTGATACTCCATCAGCCCATGATTTTTCTCTCCAGGATAAAAAAAGTCTGTTTCTTCTGGTCTCTAATAAGACCATCCAATTCCTTTGTTAGTTCATTAATTTATTAAATAAGTATTGATTGAACCCTTATTAAATGAGAAATTGTGGTAGATGATGTATTGCTACATTTAGTGAGCCAATCCAGAGCACCCTCCGTAAAGCCTCAGCTCAAACGCATGAGCCATGGATGCAGCCTCAGAGCATGCTAACCTAACAGAATAAAGGTATGTGGTACTCAGAGACGATCAACACTCGCCCCCGCGGTAATAGACCCTGCAGTCAGCACACAAAGTGAAATCAAGTTCAGTAAAAATTACCCCTTGAAAACAGCCATAAAGTACAATGTTTTCCTCTCTTTCAAGAAGCTGATCACAGTCAGTTTTTCTGCTGGTATTGTAAAGGGACCAGATCAAGGGTTGGGCGTGTGTTTAAAGCTCACGTTATACAAAAATACGTACTTTTTTAACACTAGAATCGCCCTCCAAATAAGATGACTACGCTGTGAGAGGCAAGAAGGATGAGACCCACGGAGGGAATGGCAGTTTCTCATCGTCCATCTCACACCTTCCCCCGGAACTCATGGATTGGTAGATGTGTGCTTACGGATTGCAACAACAGGCCTGGTCATCCTCACTCTTTACATCACCCTCACTCTTTCTGCAGAGCACAAATAATTAATTTTGAGTAATAATCATGCATATTGCCACTCCACTTTAACATATAATAGCTACAGTGGACATATGTACAAAGCAGAGTGATGACACAAAAGGATTCGTTAGCTACCTTCTAGAAACAAGGGGGCTGTAAGAGAAAGCTGGGTCTTGAAGAATGAACAGGCATTCTCATCTGGTAAATAATGGAGAGAGGGGAATTCCGCAAAAGAAATAGCAAATGGATCGAGACACAAGAGCACAAAAGAAAAGAGCACCTTTGACGCACTGCAAGCAGTGTGACATAGCTGAAGCTTCACATCCCACGGGAGCGTAACAGAATACAAGCCCGGAGAGAAAGGCAGGGGCACGCGCGTCAAGGACACTTTGTTACACGCTGCCATTCCCCACTTGCTCTCTCAAATCAGTGGTTCTTGGAGCGCGGCGGCACCTGGACCAGCAGCATCAGCACTGCCCGGGAATCTGCAGAAACTTGAATTTTGGGGTCTCTCCCTGTAGGAGAAACTCTGGGGCGGGGAGACCCTGTGCTCTGTGTTTAGCAAGCCCTCAGCAGTTCAGATGCGTGCCCAAGTTGGAGAATCACTGCTTTAGAATGATAGGGAGCCACAGAGGAGTTTTTAGCTGGGGAGAGATGGGATCCAGGTTAAGATAAACGTCAAAGCCTCCACTGCGCCTGTCACTTCATGCTGCCCTCATATGTATTCATATGCGGGGGGAGGGGTGACCATCTAAATCTTTCTCAAGGAGAAAGGCCCTGGTCTTTCATTATTATACACAATCCTGACGGCTGCTTAAAAAGAATCTCTCTCACACATTGAGTTCTTTGTGTTCGCCATTTCTAAGCTTATCTACAAAACCCTCTAAATTAGTTTAGTATGTGACAATAAATGACACGTAACGAGGGGGAGGTAGAAATGAATGATATAAGAAGTCTGCATAAGCTAATTTAGAGAGCGCTCAGCTTTTAATCATGTAACAGGAAAAATCCTCAGTTTGAGCCCCAAGCCCAACCCTCCACAAGCTGCCACAGACGGCTCTTTCCCTTACTTACTTTTTCATTTCAAGGGTATCATTTTCTAAATGTTCTAAAACGAACTGACCTGAAGGTGCTGAAAGCTAACTTTGTAGTACCAGTCATCCATGTGCGAAAAATATTTTCACAGAAAAAGCAAGTGCAAGAAAATATTTTTTACCACACTAAATTGCTGGTTCCACATTTCTTTGAAAAGAGGAGGGAGAAAAAGAACCCTGTGAATAATTAGTGATGTGCTTCAACCGCCAGCCCAGCACCACTGAAGCTTACAGGGTGCCAAATTATTTAGCTGAACAGTATTTAAATTAAAAACTAATGACTAGGTTAATTTAATGCATGTTCATCCCTGGTCCAACTCTGTTCTCTACTAATTGAGCTCCAAAATCTATGTTTTAAACATGCATCCTAGTCAGCGAATAAGAAACATCTGAACACTTGAATATAATAAGTCAGTTACTAATAACTTGTTTTAATCTAAATTTTATTGTTATTTTAGATGTCGAACCATAAACTATTTACTGGACTATTCACCAATGGGATAAAAGGAATAATCTGCCACCTAAGATGCACAGAAAATGCCCTTAGCTAATAAAATGAGCGACATTAGCTGATTTGAGTGTTTCATGTTTAAGCTACAAGGCTCATCACCCAGAGATGTGTACCTAGAGCTCCACCAACACCGTTAAACGCCAATCCCTGAGCAATCCCACTTTGGCAGGGGATGACCCAAGCCCTTCATCCCCCTTCATCCCACTCATTCACCGAATCTACATCCCTTCTCTCTTGCTTTCTCTTTCCCACCCCTTACCGAACAATCCATCTAACATAGAACTCCTTCATAAAGCTGCAAGAAATTATAATAGTTTACAGATTTTTTTAAAAACTGTGGAGAATCAGCCCAAAAAAAGAAGTTATGGTAAAATTCCAAGGGCACATAGCTAAGCACGGTCTGGCAAACACATGACATACCTATCCTTGCAAGGAGGGTATAGAACAGGCCACCCCTTCAGCTTCTGCAAACCATAAATGTCACAAACATTCTAAACCACCCACAGAGGACCAACCTAAGTCTGTATGTGGGCTCATCTACTCAATCCCACAACAGTCACTGAGCATAAAACACACAAAATAAAACCAAAGGGGGAAAAAAATGTTTTCACACTATAGCACAGAAGAAAACTTAATAAGCAAACACTTGTCCATAAAGAGTTGACAGCAAGAAACCTCCCAGACGCCACATGAAAACAATAGCTGAATGTGAACCTGGCACCAGAACAGACGGACTGAAGTTATGAAAGCTAGGATTTGGAAAGTGTCATAATTATTTATAATAGCGGCAACTGTCCTGGATTCCCCTCATCAAAAAATAACACGGAGGCAGGCTACCAGCCATCAATTTCTGGATCTCACAGTGTGTCCCAAGGGTGTAATGGTGTAATGGAAAGAAAGAGCGTAGGAGCCAGAAAGCCTGATTTCTAGGCCCATTTGTGCCACAAACCAGTTATGGGACCTTGAGCATGTCACTACAGAAGTATCAGAAATCTACACGACCCAAGGGTCCTTCAGATTGAGCGTGTTATAGTTATCTATCTACATTCTCAGACTTAGATTGTTGAGGGTTTTGGCGGTGGGGGAGGCTGGTAGAGGTGGGGAGGCAGGAGAGCAGAACATTAGAAGGCTATGTATTTATTTCAAGGATCTTACATGGAAGATGTAGAAATAAAAGCATAATCATCCTTAAGAAGCTTTGGGAGATACAGAAAAAAGGGACCTATCCTTGGTCCCAGGAAATTCACAATGTAGTTCCTGAGATAAAATGAAGAGAAGGAATTGATCACATTTTCTTTAGTTACAAAAGTCCAATGTGCCACCCAAAACCAATATGCCCTATGAAATATTCCCCAAAAGGGTTTCCTAAGCTTTACCTGACTATCTCCAAACACAGGGAGTTTACTGCTTCACAAGCCAACACATTCTACTCTTATGAAATGAACAGAAAACATCTTTCTTCTAGTGAGTAAAAATCAATTTCCTCATAAATGCTGGTGGCCCTGGTTCTGCCCTCTAGCTTCATAGAATATGTTAACTCCTCTTCCTCAATCAGATCTTCATATATTTAGAAGGAGCTGTTCCACTCCAGCCCCTCTACCCATTCTTCAGCCAGGCCCAATGCCCTCACTTCTGTGAACCCTTCCTCATCTAACGTGGTTTCCAGAGCGTTCATTAGCTGAGTCTCCCTGAGTCTGGTCTGGCAGAGCGCTCTTAATGTACGGCACCAAGAATGGAACACGATACCCCAAATGTGGTCTGACGGTTATATCCAATTCAAAAAAACATGTATTGAGTGACGTCTGTGCTCCAAACTAATATTTTTCTTGATCTTAACTATACTTTTATTAACGCAACCTAAAAACACATTAGCTTTGTTTGTCTTAGCCCATTTCAGATGACCGTGATAAAAAGGAGACCAGATTCTGTTACCCAAACGATCAGCTTATTCCTCCGCTGCCAGTTCTGGAGTCACCACAATGTAGTGGGACAAGTGTTTGGGCCATGTGGGCCTGGGTAGACACTGTCATTTACTAACTCAGTGACCTAAAACTGGAAAAACACTGGTTTGCTTTCAATATTTCATTCAAGTCTCTGATTAAAAATAACTTTTAAAACTCAAAGCCAATTACAGATCTCTGTGGCACAGGAGATTCTCCTCCAGATTCATAATGCTCCACCAATCTAATTAAAGAGTGACTGTCCCTTATGTTTCAGGAATAGAAGATGAGATGGTCTAGAATAAGGCGTCCAACCTGCGGCCCAGGATGGCTATGAATGAGGCCCAACACAAAATTGTAAATTTACTTAAAGTCTTCTTTTTTTCCTCATCAGTTTTCATTAGAGTTTGTGTATTTAATGCGAGGCCCAAGACAACTCTTCTTCTTCCAAGTGTGGCCTAGAGACGCCAAAAGGTTGGACACCCCTGGTAGATAGTGAAGGAAAAGGAAAGAGAAGCACTAATTCTGGGCCAGGCACTTCATATATATATTACCTCATTTCGTAAGAAAATATAAGATATATTGTTTTCACAGAGGAAAAAAAAATCAAAAAATTAAGTAATTAAGGAATGTGTCTAAGACCACAACAGTAATGAATGGAAGAGCTGGGCTCGCCGAATATAAATCTTGAGAAACTGAAATCAGCCCTAATATAGAGATTTTTATTTTTAAAATTTCACCAAAAAAGTGTTTTTGGAAAGAAGAAAGAGAACGCAAGCTTCTAGAGGAAAGACTACATTATCTGGAGGAGCAAAATTATGACAATGTTGCGACGCTGCTGGGTTTTTTATATTACACACTTGGACAATGCAAGTTGAAGAGCCAGACCAAACAGGAACCCCTGAGGTATCCTGCAGTGCTGTCCAGGCCACTTGCTAGGAAGGGAGAGGGTGGCTTGGTGTCCCAGCCTAACCCCCATGACGGTCTCAGAGACCTAACTGCCGAAAGGAGGGGAAAGAACAATTCTTCTGGGAAAAAGATTTCGCACAACCAACCAACCTGCATGCACAGATTCATATACACGGCTAGCAAAAACGGATGTAGGTAAGAAAGTACACGTAGTGCTTTCCCTTCAAAAGATATTGTCAGTGGTTAGGTTTTAAGAGATTTCACATTTTATGATCCACTACTTTTCAAATTACTTGTGACCTTTTATATTCCAAATTTAGCCTGGTAAATACTTTAGTGAAAAAAGGGTTTTGTGTTTTCATAACAATAATGAAAGCTTTTTCTTTCTTTCTTTTATCTGATATTTCTGATAAACTTTACATACAGTATATGAGTTTTTATACACGCACCCCCATTTCACTTTCCCCAAACCCTGCAACGTTTACTCTATCAATCACTGCTGAGTCTGAAATTCAATGATTTGGCAACCTCCTATGTCTTGTTTACTATTGATAGAAAACTCTAGTTGCCTTAAACACAAATTATACTTTAATTTCTGCCCAAGAGGATGACAATAATTGCTTAGAGGCAAGAAATTTGGTTTCTTACATTTTTTTTTTTGCATTCTATCCTTATCACCTCTGTTCAAAACCTAAAATGGTGCCAAATATAACTGTATCAGATTTTGTACCATACACTTTTGATGGTTAGGAAAAAATCCAGCTTTCTTCAATAGAAATAGTTCTTAAATATGATTCAAACCCAATTATTAACTCCATAAAAAATACAAACCTTACCTAAAAGCTTTAATATTTTAAAAAATATTATTCCTGATAAGTGTATTACAAGAAAACCCAGGGATTGCAATACTTTGCTTTGATAATGTATTCAGTAGAACATAATAATACACTCACTGGAAGACTTAGAAATTCATTAAAGTAGTCCACAAGGAAACTATCTGTTGCCAAAGAATCTTCCTGCAAAAAACATAAAAACATCATTATTATGCTTATGTTGTTTTAAAACATGTCAGCATAACTCTGCTATCAATAGATTATATGTTCAAATATATATATATATATATCTCTCTCAATAGATTATATCTTCAAATCTTTTTCAGTCAGTCAACACTGAATCCTCACTATAAGCAGAATATAGTCCTACAATCTCTGGAAGGAAGAAATTGAAAAATAGAGTGGAGCATACCCTTAAAAGACCTGCCACTGTACTTAGCTGTAAAACAGAACACGTGAAAAATACAGCACACTTAAATGAAACATCAACAAATACAAAATACTATGCATGGTAAATTTCCCACAGACTTATCAAAGTATCTATCTAATAAAAATGAAGGCAGAGCAATAAAGGCAGAACCAGTGATTGGGGTTAAAAGAAATTCAGAATATAAATTTCTTAAATTGCCTAATTTAAGTGATAAACTAAATGAAGAAACTATTCTGCTACTTCCCCCTCAGAAAGAGATATAGACTTAGTAATCTGAGTCCTGCTTAACTTTTGCATAAAGAATCTTTGACAATGCATATGTTCAAAGAGTAAAGATTGTATACATTTTTTCCGTAACTATTTCATCCCCCAACATAGTCATGTTTAAAGCTGGCAAAATTGGAAAGCTACTGCCAAGAACAAATGCTCTCTTCCAAATAAAACACCTTATTTTATTAGTAATTGTTTCCATTGTGTCAAAAGCACAACATGGCATACTGTGTTGTATAGTACATGTGTTTATTTTGTTATTCATAATTATATTTCAATTTCACAAATCTAACATGAAAGTTGACAATATGACACAATGCTATTATTTCCATATGGCTGATTATTTTCTTTTTATACTGGCCAAGTTTTTAAAAATGTGTTGAAGTATAGTAAAAAGTATAAGGAAGACACTATAGCATATTAACACCTACTTTGAAAAATAGATTTACAGGGTAATTTCTTTAAATAATTGTAGTAGCAAGATACAGTAACAATCACAGGATTTATATCAAGGAACTTACTAAAAATCTGAACTGATTAAAAGAACAACAAACAACTTAGGATCTCCTAAATCCACCACCTTCACAGTGGCTCCTTAGCAATACATTCTCAAAGTTCTGATTGGCAAAGCTCTAACACAGCAGAACGAGGCAGATAACCTTTGGTGAGGCAGGTATGAGGCTAACAACCTTTCAAATTGTACCTTTCCAAGTTACTTTAGTTTTCTGGACTTTATTTAGTGAACTACGTAGTTTCTGCTAATTCTTAGGAGAAATCAATTGGATTCAATAAATACCTTTGGGTCTCTTAGGTAGCATTGTGCTATACAATAAGGGTGGCCAAATTTTGCACTACTGGGCTCATGACCAAAAATCCACAGAAGGGAAGGGTGAGTATTTTTCATTTATAATGGTAGTGGATTATTTAGCTATAAAAGAGAATGTGCATTTCATAGAGTCAGGTAGACCTAATTGTTGCCTAGAATTTGGCCAGCCTCATTGCCAAAAATTTCTAGATAATCCTCAGATTCATATATTCATTTCCAGATGGCTCACACTTCTAAGAGGCTTTAACTCAACACTTTCCAAACTATCTGTGATGAAGTACCCATTTTGTTATGTCCCTCATCTATTTCAGATAACTTCTATAAAATACAGCAAGAATGAATTACTAGAAAATGAAATAAAATATATCATAACACAAGCCCACTTTAAAAATTAAATTCAAAAAAATTAAAATTAAATTCAATAGATATAAGCATACTCTGCCAAGTTCCTGTAAAGTGTCTAAATATTTCCTCTCAATTTCTGAACTCATCTTGACATGGACTGGTCTCGGGTGGCAACAGTCTGCAGCCCCTCAAAGTGGCACTGCCCTAACTGACCCATTGGTGAGCAGTTAGCTTTCAGCTCCCTCAGGTCCCCCTGAAACTGAACGTCACTGCTGGAGCATTTCCTTTGCATTCGGTCACATCCTAAGGTTTGCACTAACACCCGTGGACACTTAAAATGTTATTCAAATACATCCAATTGTGTGTTTTGTTTCTGTAATTGTTTCTTAATTTCTACCCACAGTCAACATCAGTTCTTCTGCTGGTATCAGGGCAGGCTGCAATGGAAACAAGTGTAGTCTGCTAGTGCCATCTGCTCAGTCGTCTTGTTGCACTTTAATTTGAAGGCCTGCACTTCCCTAAATAAAGGAGCATATTTTCCCATTGCAGCCTCTACTAGTTCAATGTGTTCAGGCATTGTGTCACATTAGTAACAAATGGTCTTGTGAAGCAATGAGGATCTGACAAAGCCTTTATTCTCAAAGCCTTTAATTTAAAAAAAAAAAATTTTTTTTTTAAATGCCTTGATCTGAAGAAGCAGCTTAGTTACTCTCAGTAAGTTTCCACAATCCAGTCAGTCGGTCGTATTAAAATGAAAGAAGTCTCCATATTCGAGTTTAATATCTTTCAAATAACCAATAAACTGGTGATGGTTAATGGTACAATCAAGAAGAAAATTGAGTTACAATCAATTCCTCCATTACATCATTCCATGAACCCGACTGCAAAATTTGCAACCAGATTCTCTGTTGAATGATGCAATGGAAGGTAGAAACATTTCTTCAGAACTGAATACACTCTTGAAACCTGTTTTTTCATGTATTACAGGTGTGCCATCTGTGAAAGTGAAGTCAGCTTTTCCGTTTTTAGTCCAAACTTCTCAAAATTCTTCCTGAAAGAGGGTTAAGCAAAATAGTTTATATATGTTTGCTAATTATAGTAGGTCAATTTTCTTTTGCTTAAAAAATTATTTTGCTGCACCTTAAAACCAGGTAAACTACAATTACTTCACAACTGTAAATGAAGATATACCAAAAAAAAGACCTCACAAACATGAAAGAGTAAATAAGATAAACACAGACCAAAACCATAGTTCAAGAAAGAATATAATAAATACCATAAGAGAAGTACAATATAAACCATTTTCTCCCAAAGGAGGCAAAGATATTATCTGGTAGGAGGGATCAGCTAATGGGAGTGATGGCCTTTGAAATGCATTTCAAATACCTTCAAATTCTATAAAAGCAAAACAAGTACCGGGGACCACAGTCAGCTAATGGCAAAAGTAGAAAAACAATCCAAATTTTCACTTCCTTTCATGCTATTCACATACTAAACCAATGCCATTCATCTAATTTCCAAAGTAGAATACTATATTGTCACATTTTAGATTGGGGATGCTATCGCCATCAATCAGGAGATAAGATAGACCATATTTCCAGAATTATACCTATTTTTACTTCTTCCTCATTCTTTCATTTCTCCTTCCTAAACAAACCAATCACTAGGCCAGAGCTTCCCACCAGGTATACAATGGCCCAGAGCGGTGTGCAGACAGTGGAATTCCACGGGTCAAAAAAGCCGAGGCAGCCCGGCCCAGCACCGGTGGCTGGAGTTCCCAGGATGGTGATCTCTGGTTGGGAGAAGCCTTGTTTGGGACTCCTCAGATCCGACTCCTTCTCCTAGAGATGATGATTTATGAGCCACATCCCACACCCCCCGCTCCTCTGTCAGACACGGAGCACAGCCAGGGAGTTGCTCAAGGCCCTGGATGTGGACATGCTGGCTAGCTGCACGACATACCGATGCCCCACGGAACTGCTGGAGGAGTTTCCATATGAGGTGTCCAAGAACACAGGACACAGCCGAAGGTGCTGACAGCTGGGAGGAAAGGGGGAACAGGAGATCCTGGAAGGCTACATACAGACGATGGCCCCAAATCATTGCGTCCACATACATCACATATTTCTGTATGCTGGCAACTGGTGGATCCTGGCAGTAGTTTCTAAGCTAGTTGTAAGGTCACTGCTTGAAATTACATATATGTTATTGATTTTTAATTTTGTTTATCCTAAGAAATTTTAACATATTTGTCATGAAAAAAGGAAGGACTGTTAAACTTTAGCTCTTAGAAGTTTGAATGGTTGTAAAGATAGTCTAAAAAATTTTAATACCTATCGGGTGATACAGTTTCTCACGATAGAGACTATTCAAGGATTTTAAAAGACCATCATTTAAAAATCTTGATTAGGAATTGCACAAAGTCACTCCAAGCATGTAATCTGATATTAAATATTATGTATTTATGCATAGTTCTAACACAGTAACTGCAGAAGTCACAGTAGCAAACTTATATACATTTAAAATATCAGCAGTAGTAATAAAAGTCCTTGTCTCATGCATGGTTTAGTTTCCTTCAACTGCAGCAGCACATTAAAGCAAACAGCAGTGCCTTTCCTGGGCTCACCCAGTAGGTCCCAGCCTTTTTCGTCTGGGAATTTAAAGAGTCTGTAGAGAGAAAAGCCACGCACACAAGTAACTACAAGACAAGGAGAGATTTACATTTCATTTAGAACTGTTTTTATGGAATGAAAAATAATAATAAAATATCAATAATAGTAAATAACAGTTTTTAATTGCTTACCAAAAAAAAGTTATGTACATCCAAAAAGGAAGAAAATAATTCCATTTATGATAGAATCAAAAAGAATCACTTAACCAAGGACGCAAAGACTTATATACTGAAAACTATACAATGTTGCTGAAAGAAAATAGAGAAGATATGAAGAAACAGAAAGACATATCATGTTCATGGATTGGAAGACAGTAGTGTTAAAATGACAATACCACCCAAAACAGTCTATAGATATAATACAATCTCTATCAAAATTCCAATGACATTTTATTTTTTGCAGAAATAGAAAAAAATACCCTAAATTTCATATGGGATTTCAAGGACCTTGAATTACTGAAACAATCTTGAAAAAGAACAAAGTTGAAGGACTCACGTATCATGGTTTTAAATTTTACTACAAAACTACAGTAATCAAAACAGTGTGGTACTGGCAGAAAGACATATAGACTATTGGAAGGGAACAGAAAGTCCAGAAATAAATATTCTCACATTCAATCAAATGATTTTCAACAGGAGTGCCAAGCCCATTCAGTGGGGAAATAACACTCTCCAACAAATGGTGCTGAGAAAACTGGACATCCACATGCAAAAGAATGAAGTTGGACCCTTATATTATACCATCTACAAAAATTAACTCAAAATGAATCAAAGACCTATGTAAGAACTAAACCTATAAAAATATTCATGATCTTGTATTTGGCAATGGATTCTTAAATATGACATCAAAAGCAGGAGCAACACAAGAAAAAACAAATTAGACTTCATAAAAATTAAAAATGTTGTGCATCAAACAACCCTATTAAAGAAGTAAAAAAACAACCTACAGAATGTGAGAAAAAATTGCAAATCACATATGTGATAAGGGTTAATACCCAGAATATATGACAAACTCAGAATATAAGAAAAACATAAACAACCCAAAAGTTTTAAATGAGCAAAAGACCTAAATAGATGCTTCTTCAAAGAAGACATACAAATAAGCACATGAAAAAATGCTCTACATAACTAGCAACAAGAGAAATGCAAATCAAAACCACAATGAGATATCACTTCACATCTACTAGGGTGGCAAATAACAAGTACTGGCGAGGACATGGAGAAATTGGAACCCTTGTATATTGCTGGCAGAAGTGTGAAATGGTGCAGCCTCTTTGGAACACATTGCAATTCCTAAAAAAATTAAATACATAATGTATCATTAAGCAGTCTGAACTCTACTCTTCTTGTTCTGATAGATTCATATTTCAGTTTTTATGGAACGTGAAAACAAAAAAGCTGGGATTGAGGAATGTAATGAAGAGAAGCATTTATTTTATCATTTGATATTTGAATTATTTATAAGAATGTATTTATACTTACATGTTGCTTATATAATTAAAAATATACCCCCAAAAAAACTAATAAGAGAACTGAATATACCAAGTTTTTTTGTACGTATTTTGCTTAGGAAATTATCAAAAATCAAACATGAAGTTAATAAAGACACTAAAGTAGAAAAATGCCAGGAGGAAGGTACTTATGCAATGAAGCTTTGCAAAACATAGTAAGTAAAACAAATGATATTTATTATATATTAAAATATCCATCAGCCAAAGTTTATTAGTCATCTGATAGCACATTCATAGTGGGCATTGTGCTACACACTAAAGAAAATATTAAGGTATACTGAGACATAGTACCAGCCCTATATGTATTCACAATTTTGTTAAGTAATTGCAAAATTTAGACATAAAAAGTTAAAATGAAAGTTAATATACAAGGCAATGCGTTCCTGACAACAAATGATTTACTCTAAATGAGTTATTCTCTCCCTTGAGGATAAAGACCCCATGTAAAGGTTAAAATATTTTGCAGATGTCCACAATAGCCTTGTACTTTTTAGATCCACTGATTGAGAAAATACAATATGAAAAAAGTTCCCATGAATATAGGAGCAACTTATATTAGTGTATGACTGCTGTCAAAGATGGAACTGAAATAGCACCATTTAAGTAAAATGGAAGTTTATTTCTCTCACGAAACCATAAGCAGTTCGGGACTGGCATCGTAGCTTTCCAAATATTAGGAGGTCAGGCTCCTTTGATCTGGTAAGTCCACCTTCCTCAAGATGCCACTTCTACCTCGTGATCCAAAATGACTGTTTCCACTTCAGGAGCACATTTTATTCCAGTCAGCAGGAAAAACAAAAAGGGCCCACTCTCTCCCTTTATACTTTTATGTATGTTACAATCAGAATGACACAGGTTCTACCTGCAACTTGACCAGTTACTAGCTGTGAAGACCGAAGAGGTCAGTTATTTAATCTTTGTAAACATCAGCTTTCCAGAAGCGGGACACACAACACTTATGTTAACATTCCCTTGTCAAAATTTGGTTACTTGACCACATTTAGCTGCAAGGGAAGCTAGAAAATGAAGTCTTTATTCTGGAGAGCAGTATGTCTCGTGTGCATTATGGAACAGGGTAGAATGGATTATGGGGAACAAGGGATCTCTGCCACACACTTCTTTCCTAAGAATGTGAATAAAAAAATACTTTAAAGTTTTTGGAAAACAGAGGGAAATATATGTACAAGACATATGAATTATTTAATCTACAAATAATGTTTGGGGACATTATGAATTGGAGGATCTGGTCACAAACTGGTCTCAACTGAAAGCTGCACACAGCTCCAAGGCGGTCTGGACAAGTTTAGGTTGGAGAGGGTTCATGGAGGAGATGAGCTGGGCGGTGAGGAATGTGCAAGATTGTGAAATAGATGGAGGAGGGCAACTGAGACGAAACTTGACAGCAAAGGCAAGGAGGCAAGCAGGGTAGTTTGGCTGGAGCAGAAGCATGTGGAAGTACTTTATAAACCAAAAACAGTATGAACATTGTCTTTATCACATAGAAAGTACTGGGAGGTAAGGTTAAAGAAGGCTGAAAAGTTATAGAAGAGCTTGGATACTAAAGGAAGGCTTTCGACATTCTGGCTCTGCCTGTTACTAGATATGTGGCCTCGGGCCAAGTTAAGCTCTGTGACTTGGACTTCCACATCTGTGAAATGTGGGTGATAATAACCACCTAATAGAGTTGTTTTGATGTCAAATACTAGCATCTAGTCAGCATTCAAATAAATAGTAGGATTAATAAAAGATGTGAGCAATTGAGTAACATGGTAATTTTTAAGAGAGTTTATAGCAATCTGATAGCCAGGATAAGAGTGATGCAAGAAGGAAAGTCTAAAGTTAGAGTAAAGCAATCTCATCCGGCACAGCTGATGTGCATGGGTTTGCAGTTTAGGCAAAGAAAAATTGGAGTTGGCAGAAGGAATTTTGGAGGCAGTGATATCAGTTAGTAGTACTGCCAAAGTCCAGGCCCAGGGATGAGGGCCTGAAATAAGACAGTAGCTGTGAGGATGGAGAAAAAGATCTGGCCTTGACAGGAACTTGCCAGAGGAGGTGAAGAAAAGAGAAGATGGGTTCTGGCTTGGGTGATTAAATGGCCAGCAGTGCTATTAACCAAAACAAGAAAAAGAGAAAGAAAACAAGAATGGGCGAAGCCGGCGGCGGGGCGGGGAGAGGGGGCAGGATGAGTTCAGTTTAGACTGTTGAGATGATGCAGGGATACCCAAATGATGAAGATTCACTATCACCCAATGGGTGCAGAGTTCTGACACAGAAGAGGCATCTGGACCAGAGGTGTGTGCAGCTGGAAGCCCTGTGAAACAAGGGTAGCTGAAACTATGGCAGGAGAAGGGGAGCTTCCTCAGAGAAAGCCTGTAGAACAGAATCTTGAAGGTCAACACTTTTCATGGGCAAAGAAAAAGAGAAGCCAGAAAGGGGAACATAAAAATGAGAGATGGGAAAACTGGAAGACAGACAGTGGTATCAAAGCAACCAAGAGAAGGACGAGTGACTAAACAGAGGTTTCAAGCTGTTAAGAGTTCCCAGACAATTACAAAGACCTGAAGAGATTAGCAGACTGCTCAAATGTTAAAGTGCAATGTTGCTGAGGGCTTTTCGGAGTGGTTATGCTGGAGTTGCGTGGGAAAGATTAGCTGGCTCCAGAAATGCTGACCTCCTGCTGGAATGAAGAACAGTTCAGGAAGCAGCGAAAAGAAATTTGCCACTACACGGTTATGCCAAGGCAATGAGAAGATGGAGGAGTTGCTGACATTCCCCTTGTGCCTCTGTCTTGGGCTGTCTCTCCCAGTAGTGGACTAAGGGTCTGGAAGGGTGCAAGTGGGAAGTGCTGGCAGACACAGCTTAGCCCTCTCCTCGCAGAGCTCCTGCCAGACTGGGAACTTTTCAAGACGTATCCTCAGCATCGGTCACTGCACTGTGTATAAGGAAGGCACTCATGTTTGCTGAACAAAAAGCCGAAAGCAAATAATTGGCCGATAAGAAAAATAAGTGTTGGAGGACATAAGCAAATAATTCAGAGAAGTAGCTAGAGCTCTTGAAATCCAAATCAGACAGTAACAGGAATTAGGCTGTGCTACCTCCTATCTACCTGTTTAACCTTGGGCAAGTTCCATAAATACACAGTAAGAATTACAGTAAAACCCACCCTGAATATAGCGCTCACCTCACTGATAACATATATAATGTACTGGGCGAAGTACTCATTGCTACTCAGCTCTTCAGAAGTCCAATGTGAAAATATTTAACATTTTTAAAGGACTTAGGACTATAAATTGACCACTTATTTATTATCCATCGATACCATCAATTAATGTTTACTGCAACTAGAAACTGCATGGCCACATCGCAACAAAACCATGGAGATAAAGCCTATCTTTCATAGGGTTTCATTAAAGGGTTTAGAGGAATTAATTGAGATCATTTATGTAAAAGAACTTTCACAGTGAACAGCAACCACCATAAAAATCAATTAGTTCCTTCTTTAAAATGTACCTATTAAAAGGCTGTAAAAAGGTCTTGTACTCAGCACCATTGTTACTAAGCCAAAGCTTCTATTATACTCATTTGGCAAAAAGTAGAAAAGAAAATATACAGCTTTTTTCTACATCTATGATTTGTTATTTAAAAAAAGGGGGGGGGCGAGGATGGATGGAGTTGGAAGAGGGTATAAGGAGGATAAATGGTAATGGGAAATAAATATAATTTAAAAAATAAACTACTTTTAAAAAGCCAGAGGAAAAAAAATAGTAGCCCTCTAAATTGTACTTACAAATTCTGCTTCTGTAATAGTTGGTGGCTCTGAAACAAGATAAAATATTACATTATCTCACTCAAATCTGATTTCCGTTTAAAGTAAATGAAATAATTTGAGACAGCACCTAGCCCTGCTTTATACATGGACAAGCTCAATAACATTTTGGCCCTCTGTTCATTTTCTGCACATGGATTGAATTTTAAGTTGGAATTCAAGGTGGAAGTGGGAGGAAAGGCCTCTGGAATCCAGCCTGGTCACTAATTCACTGTGACCCTGGAGTTAACCTTAATAGATAGAGGCCTCCATTATTCCAGCTGCAAAACGGAGAATTAAGCAAGTTAAAATAACACGGTGCCAATGAGGCAGAGTCGATGGGGGACGCGGTGAGGGATAGGGGTAGAAATCGTAATAAAATGCTACAGGAAAGGAGTGGAGCCGGTCTTTCGAATGTTTGAAAGAGGGGACGCCCGGGCGGGTACGGTAACACCAGAGGCGGGAGCGTGATCAGGTAGGGACGCCACGTCCTTCGGCCTTCGGCCCCGTGACGCGGGCCCGCCCGCCCCACCTACCGGCGGTGAGCCGCTTCTCCGGCATGCCGCCGCCGTTGCGCTCGCCCGGCGTCCGCGCGGGCCGTCAGGGCCCCATCGGCGTCGGGCCCGGCGCCCCCCGGGGCCCGTCTCTCCCGGGAGCGGACGCCGACGCGGTGGAGCTAGCGGGCCGGGGCTGCGCGGGCTGGTGCGGCCCCGGCCTCGCCCGAGTTGCTATGGAGCTTAGACAATGCGGGCGCGGATCGGCGGGCTGCCCGGGGGTGGGCGCGGCGCCCGAAGTCTGAACGACGGTCACGTGCCTTTCGGGGCCCCTGGGCCGAGCTGGAGACGCGCGGGTTGCCGCAGCCCCTGCTCACGGCCAAAGGGGTCGCCGCCGCTAAGGGACGGAGGGCCGCGCGCGCCCGGACCCACCCCGGCGCGACCACAGCGAAGGGCCCTGGAGGCGCGCGTCGTTACTGGAGTTACTGAGGCTCAGGCCTGTTCTTCCGCAGCAAGCCGGCCGCACCGTTCAGCGAATTTGATTTGATTACAGTTTTAAGACCCGCTGGCAAAAGGGTGTAGGACTGGGGGCCAGACCTGCTGGCGCTAAGAAGAGCAGAAGAGAACAGTTGGGCTCAAGAATTTTCTTCATAGTGATAGACGACGTTCAACACACATCTCTTGAGCTCATTCCCAGTTGTACGAATGCCTATATAAAAAGTTAAACACATGTACTCTAGGAGGCACATATGAAGCCACATCTTTCCCGTATTTTTGTTCCAATCGGTTAGAACTGCGGCATTTTCAAGATATTTAAGCTTTTAAAATTACCCAAGCAGGCCATTGACAAAGAGACAAATAAACTGAGGGTGCTCTAAGTATCTGTCCCAGAAAAGCTTATGATGAAAGTGAAAAGTGAAATTTGAAAAGAAAGAGAAAAAAAAACCTGTAATCAATTAGAAGATATGAACATTTTTAGAAAAGTCATGGTCAACTCAAATTTCCAACCCAGCCCTCTCCGCATGAGCCTAACAACCCTATATCCAACAGCTGGCTGCGCACGGTGGTGGCTGTTCCTTGTATGCTTCCAAATCAAAATGTCCAAAAGGAAATCTGCCTTTTCCCCATTCCTTATGTTGAAATTTCATCTTTCTACAAAAACTCCGTGTTCACTAAGTGGCACCAAGTGACTCAAAGCAAAAACCACATATTCAGTCAAGCAGTAGGCCCAGCTAATTCTACCTTAAAGTATTTTTTTTTTTAGAGAGGAGAGATAGAGGGAGATGGAGAGATAATAATTTGTTGTTCCACTTATTCATTAGTTGATTCTTGTATGTGCCCTGATGGGGATCAAACCCACAACCTTAATGTTTGGGGATGATGCTCAGACCAACTGAACTACCTGGCCAGGGCCAGGCTCCCATGTGGACTGTTGTACAATCTTCCCAAAATCTTCCTTCTCCCAGATTTTACTCCCAGTGAGTTCCCTTAAATCCATCCTCCATGCTGAAGGCAAAATACCTTAAATGCAAATATGACCTCTTTAAAAACTTCAGTAGCTCCACATTTGCCTCCTACAGTGTGGGAGCTCTCTAAGGCCAGCTAGGAGCCTGCTTTATGAGAACGCTTAGGCAAAGAGTAAGACAATGGATTATTGTATTGCAAGGAATCATAACACCTCCCTTTTCAGTATTACGTAGGCAAAGACAAATAAACCGCTACCTTGGTCAAACAAAATCAGAAGTCCAAATGAAGTGAAAAGAGAGCAGAACAAGAGAATAGGTAGGTAAGGGGAGGTGGAGGAAACAAATCATGAAGGGCTGTGTGCGCCCCTGAGTGAAATGTGAACCATAGGAGTTCTGAATGGAGAAGTGCCGTGGTTTCCCTTTTATGTGAAAAGGATCGCTCTGAGTACTGTGAAGAGAATGTAGATGAGCACAAGTAGAAGCAGGCAAGAGCTGATGGTGGCTCAGACCAGGGTGGTAAGCAGTAAGGGATGTGAGACAGACTCAGATTCTCCATATATTTTAAAGGTAGAGCCAGGAGGATTTCCTAACAAGCTGGCTATGGGATTGTAACAAAGAAAGGAGCTGAGAATTAACTCCAAGGATTTTTAGCATGAGCAGCCAGTATGGTGGAGTTGCCATCAGCAGAGATGGGAAAAGCTAACCAGACTACCTTCTGGGTGAGATTTTAGTAAGTCTCTTGGCCATCCAAGTGAAGATTTTGAGTTTGCAGTTCATAGAAGGGGCTGGAATGTGGGAGATATAAATTTGGGAGTTGACATATAAATGGATATTTCAGCTGTTTGCTTGTGCTGGTTCTGCTGCCAGAGAAGCCCTTCTGGCCTTTATCAGGCTAACTTTTCTCATCCTTCAATACTCAGCTTGGGTGTCTTCTTTGGCACACCTTCCCATGAATTACGTTCATTCATTTTTCCTCTTGCTCCTGTATACTCCTGCACAAACTCATATCTTAAAACCACATTGCTATTAAATAATCTTTATAGAGGGGTGCACCCTCTAATCTAAGTGCCACCCACCAGACAGTAAACTCCTGGAGACTGAGGAAGACACATCTTATTTCATGCCCCACCTCACTCCTAGCACCCACTACTGAGGGCCTACCACTCAGTACATATTTGTTGAAATATCTTCTCTCCAATGCAATCATTTTGCACTGTGCCCTGCTCACAGAGATTTATCCTTTTTAGATAACCAAACCAATGAGAAGTCAATAGTTCACTTTAACAGTAAGTGTGGGTAACACTTACTGCACACTTACTATGGGCCTCTAACAAAAACCCTAAGAGATTGCTTTTATTGTTCTCAATAATTTAGGAAACTGAGACTTAGAAAGGTGAGATACTTTGCTCAAAGACAAACAGCTTGAAACTGTTGAAGCCACAAGTTAATCCAGATCTGTCTGATCCAAAACCTTCACTCTTTAACAACCAGGCTTTTCAGCCTTTCTCTCTAAAAATAATCTCACGTGATTTTAAAAATGACACAAGAATGACAAAGACTATAATTTGAACCCAAATATGTGAGTTACAAGCTATTTTAATGCTTTGGTAATTGTTTTTAGGATTATTGTATAATGTAATACATACATCATACTAAGGTGTACAATTCAATGGTTGTTAGTATACTGAGATGTGCAACTATCACCAGAATCACTTATAGATCATATTTGTCACCTCAAAAAAACCTCCTTAGCTATCATCTCCTACTCTCCCCTCCCCAGCAACAACTAATCTACCTTATGTCTCTATATATTTGCCTATTCTGGACATTTCACATAAGTGGAATCATACCATATGTTGGTTTCTTTCACTTAATGTTTTTAAGATTTGACATGAGTCAGTACTTCTTTCCTTTTTATTGCTGAATAATATTCTATTGGATGGGTATATCATCATTTGTCCATCCATGAGTTGATAAATATTTGGGTTGTTTCTACTTTTTGGCCATTTTGAATCGTGCTGCTATGAACATTCATGTACAACTTTTTGTGTGGACATATGTTGTCATTTCTCTTGGAGATATACCTCGGAGTGGAATTGTTTGGTCAAAAGGTAATATAAATTGTTTAGCAAGTCTGTGTCTGACCTTTTAAGGAACTGCCAGACTGTTTTCCAATTTGGCCAAACCATTTTCTATTACTACCAGCAGTGATGAAGGTTCTGATTTCACCACATCTTCCCTAATACGTATCATCTGACTTTATTATAGCCATCCTACTGGGTGTGAAGTGATATCTCTTTGTGGTTTTGGTTTGCATTTCCCTAATGACTAGATTTTACTTTTAAAACTAATTTCATTCTGTCTCTGCCCCCCAAACTAGCTAGCTTACCCAAAGAGGCTTTTTTCTGCAACTAATCTATATCATTGTTGAAAACCAATGCAGTTCACATATCTGCAATTCAATTTGGGGAACTTTAGAGAGCATCTCAGATAATCTCCCTGTAAAACAGCGAATACTGTGATATAATGAGAACCCAACATAACCATGGAACAAGACAGAAGTTAAGCTGCTGTGGACAAAGAAAAATGATCAGGTTTCAAATATGAGCCCCAAAGCAAATGTCACAGAGGCTGACCTGAATTGCAAGGATTAATTTGCATTAGGGCTACCCTACGCAGCCTACTTAGGGCAAGAAGCTGCACAAATTTATTTAGCTGTTCTAACCAATTACTGCTGGAGGAAACTGGTGTGTGTGTGTGTGTGTGTGTGTGTACCTTCTTGGCAATCAAGAGCAAAATTTCAGGTATCCTACCTATTTAATCTTTTTTTTTCTTTTACTGCTTTATTTAAAATCTCAAACACTTGTGCTTGCCAATAACTCTAAAAACAAAACAAAAAAATAACTCTAAAACAATAGTGTTCCTCGTATTTATTACCTTAAGAAAGCATTTGCTCCTTTGATACAAATGATTTTTACTGTGCTAATAGCCGATCCAAAGGTGCAAAACTGAGATGGTGGTTACTGCATCAAAGTCCCTGTAAATCGAAATCTGAGCTTTGCATAGAAGTCTTATTTAAAAAAAACAAAAAGCCACACGCTGCTTAATAATTGACAAGTACCAGCCCTTCCTTGGGCTTGGTACAGTAGGGTAAAACTTAAACCTAGTTCTGAACCTTCCTGGGTGTAAACAGAAATAGCACCAGAAGCTGAAGTTCATCTTATCATTGTGATTTTAATTTTTGATGGTAATGGGATATTTTATATGGTTAAAAGTCTGAATAAAAATGGACAATGGCCAGACCATATATTACAATAGAACTCTTGACTCATACCTTCTGTAGCAATCAGCCTTGGAAACCAAACTCTGGCCTTCGTTAAACTAAAATGCATACCACTAAGTGAAAAGCCAACCTGAAAAAAGGCTGCATACTGCATGATGCCAACTATGTGACATCCTAGAAAAGGCAAACTAAGGAGACAGTGAAAAGTTGCCAGAGGTCCAGCAGGGGGAGGGATGAAAGGACAGAGCACAGATTTTCAGGGCCATGACGCTGCTCAGCATGATACTATAATAGTAGATACATATCATTATACATTGG